TCCCTCTGAATGTGATATAAGGGCGGCCTGGGGGCTCCGGGGGGGGTGGGTCGGGGAAGCCCTGAGGTTTTCAGGGGGCTGAGGCTAGTGGGGGAGCACACACTGGGGGTGTCTGCGTGTGTCAGAGAGGACACCCTCACGCCTCACTGCTGGCCGGGCCCCCTTGCACTGAGGACTGCACCTGGCCCCTCTGGCGGCTGTGACCCCGGAGTGTTAAGGACTTGGAAAAGCAGCACAGTCGTCAGAGGAAAAGGACCCAGAACCAGCAGCAGCGTTGGCACGTGGCCTGGCTCCGGGTGGTTTCTCTCCCAGCCAGGCTTCCTGGGGGACAGATTTCTCTCTCTCTCTTTTTTTATGGTTGCACAGCTCTGCCCCATGGGGGGCCTTTTTTACACACTGCGAGGCCCAGCTTTCTGGGGGAACTTTTGCACATGTCATGTGGCTCAGCTGGGAGCCACTTCGGTGGAAAACTCCAAATAAAGTGCGGCCTGTCGCAGAGGCTTGACTGTTCTTTGTGTGCGTGCTCTCCACACCGCTGGCCACCTCCTGGCTCGTTGACGCTAAGGCAGGCCTGGGGGGGGGTTGTGGCGGAGACTGGCTGGCTGTGCCCTGGGGTCCTGACCCGGCCTAAGGGAGAGGGCCGGGGCAAGGGACCTTGCTTCTGGGCCATCTGGTGAAGTCTGGGATGCTGGCAGAGTGTTAGCGGAAAAACTCAGGGATTGGGGGGCAGGGACCAGTTAGGGGTGTGGGACTGGTCCTCAGATTCCTGGAGAGCTGGTGGTTGGAATAGGGAGGTGGACACTATGTTCTAGGACCGCTGGGAGGCCAGTTTCTATTCACCCTGATCTCGAAACATTCTCCAAATTAGAAACTTAAAACATGAGCGCTGACTCAGACAGGCATGCTCCTCTCCTGGCAGGCAGGCAGGCAGAATCATATGCAAACCCAAGAACCTTACTCCAGCCAGACCCAGGGTCAAATCAGGGCCTCCCTCCTGGACCAGCCTCTTAAGTAGCCTCCCGGGCCCACAGCCTCTTTGGTACCCTCCCCGATGCATCAGCCTCCCTGCCCCTGGCCAGGTCCCGCCAACCGGCCCTCCACGCTGTAGCCACTGGGTGTCACGTTAGAGGGATTATGCCCATCTCCAATTCAGGGTGCTTCTGTGACTCCCTCGTGTTCCAGGCTCATGTGTATTCTTCCTAACGAGGCCTCCAAGGTCTCCAGGTTCATGTCCAGCCTCCCCACCTGTCATTTCAGAAGACTCCATGTGCTAATTCCCTTCCACACGCTCCTGATTTGACTGCACTTCACAGCCCCCAGTTTTCCAGGTGCCTATGCAAGTTTGGGCCTCTGCAGGGAGCAGCCTTGCCTCCTCATCTGCCTATCCAATGGGAAGCTCTCCTGATCCCTTCTGGGGATCCCTTCGGGACCAGCCCCCAGCTCCTGTTCTCCCTTGGACATGCCTCTAGCTGCATCTACTACCCTGACCTGTGACCATGTATCCACGGGCTGTCCTTCCCCACGAGACTGAGCTCCCTGACCCAGGCAGGACTGACACAGACAGGGGTGGTGAATGAATGAATAATAAATGAGCAACTGGGTAGCCAGAGCAGGGCAGAGAGGCATTTCACCCCATTGACCCCCCAGCACCTAGACCCATCCCTGGACATTCCAGCTCGTGGTGGGGGGTCAACTCCAAAGCCCCCGCCTCACACCGAGTAGCCTATCTCCTTGCTCTTCCAGTTCCTTCTTCCCCTGCCCCCTCCCTCATTGGCTCTGAATCCTGCCCCTCAAGACCCCTCTTTCCCTGTGACCGCGCCCCTCCCTGGGATATTTTTCACTCTCCCCACAGTCCAGAGGGAGCTCCTTGAGGACAGAAATCATATTTTATCCACCTTGTGTCCTCAGCATCTTCGTGGCCACATTTGACAAATGCTGGCTGAATGAGGCTATGTGTGACAACTGTGACGGGCCCAGCTCCCTACTTTATGGGACAGACACACTGAGGCAGGATCTGTTCTCTTAAATACCCAACCACTCGAGGCTGTTAGGGGCCACTTCTGCACCAGGCACCGAGTCAGGCGCTTCCCCCCACGCCACCTCTCACTCTTTGCCCTCCCACTGCCTCAGCCTCAGAGGTGGGAGTTTTCCTGCATCATCTGCTGCCCTGCACTTGCGTACTGATGTGTTCATGGATATCCAGCTCCCCCACCCCCAGTATGGCCCTGGGTGCTGAGCACTTATGGGCTCCATCTCAATCCTCACAGCCTATAAGGTGGGAGAACTGTTATCTGAAGGAAAGAAGGCCCGAGATGGTGGTAATGGGTCCAAAATCATACCTCTGGGTATCAGTGCATCCAAATCCCAAGGCTATTATACAAATAACCATTAAACCAGACCGTCTGGATGTTAAGTGCTCTAAATTCCAAACACCATGCCAGACACCAGGGTGCCTGTTTGTTCAAAGGGAGGAGGATGCCCTGGCTGAATGCCACTCTGTGAACCAAAAGGTGGCAGGTTCCATTCCAACTCAGGGCACATAGCTGGGTTGCAGGCTAAGTCCCCAGTTGGGGCTGTGTGAGAGGCAACTGATTGATGTTTCTCTGGCACATCAATGTTTCTCTCCCTTTCTCCTTCCCTTCCCCTCTTTCTAAAAAATAAATAAAAATCTGAAGAAAAAGAAAAAGAGAGAGAGAAGCAGCCCTGGCCGGTGTGGCTCAGTTGGTTGGAGCATCATCCCGTACATCAAAAGAATGGGGGTTCCATTCCCAGTCAGAGCACATATCTAGGTTACGGGTTTAATCCCCAGTCAGGGTGTGAATAGGAGGCAACCAACAGATGTTTCCTTCTCACATTGATGTTCCTCTCTCTCTAAAATCAGTAAGCACATTTTTTAAAAAGGGAAGGAGGAGGAGAGAGTGGACCTTCCTCTTCAGTATGTTCGTCTCACTGAGTTCACTCAGGAATGTGAAGTCTGTTTGGAGAAAGTCCAGTCATTGTGAATATGAGAATGGTTTGTGCAACATCGATGTGACCTGGCAGCCAAGGAGCGTGGACTGGAATGCACATGTGTGAACAGTGATGACTTCACTGTACCAGTCAGTGGGGGTGGTAGACACCATTGAGTGAACATGTGTACTGTGTGGCCATCACATTCAAAATGACTAAGCAAGATGAGAAAGAAATCTGCATCAAATTTTGCATGAAGCTTGAACATTCTCTTGTGGAAACTATTCAGATGATTCAGAAGGCTGCAGCTATGGGCAACTGGTGATTGGCAGCTTTATCACAACAACACATTCACTCATTCATCATATTCATGCAGTTTTTTGGCAAAACATCAACTCATCCAGATGACTCAGTCCCCCTACAGCCCAGATTTGGCACCCTGAGACTTCTGGCTTTTCCCAAAACTAAAATCACCTTTGAAAGGGAAAAGATTTCAGACTGTCAATGAGATTCAGGAAAATATGACAGGGCAGCTGATGGCGATTGGGAGAACTGTGTGAGGTCCCAAGGTGCCTACTTAGAAGGGGACTGAGGCATCATTGTCCTATGAGCAATGTTTCTTGTATCTTCTTCAAGGAAATGTCTCTATTTTTCAGAGTACATAGCTGGATACCTTCTGGACAGACCTTGCATTATTCCTATCCACCTAGCTGCACAGGCCAGAAGCCTGGAAGTCCCCTGGGTCTCCCTTACTTACTCGCCAAACACATCCAGTCCAAAAACAAGTTTTCTCCATTCTGTCTCGAAATATCTCCACCCCATCTGCCTCTCCACCATTCCTCATGGTCACTACCTGAGCTCCGGCCAGCATCAGCTCTTAACCACAACCGGTTCTCCTCCTTGCCTCTATACCACTATCTGTGTACACTGTCACAGTGCTATCTTTTTTTCTTTTAAAGATTGTATTTATTTATTTTTAGAGAGAGAGGAAGAGAAGGAGAAAGAGAGGTAAACATCTGTGTGGTTGCCTCTGGAGTGCCCCCAACTGGGGACCTGGCCTGCAACTCAGGCATGTGCCCTGACTGGGAATCTAACCCGTGACCCTTTGTTTCGCAGTCCTGCACTCAATCCACTGAGCTACACTGGCCAGAGCACAATGCTATCTTTAAAACATAAACTTGGTGATACAATTCTCTCATTTGTCTTTCAGTGACTTCTGGATGACTGTCCTCAGGATAACTTCCAGATTCTTTATCTTTTTTTGAAGGCACTTAATGCTCTCTAGCCACTAAGGTTCGCACAGGCTGTTCCTCTTCCCTAGAACACCCTCTTCTCATCTCTTCCCCCTTCATTCTGCTGGCAACCTTTTTGATAGCCCCCTCTCCCGTGGGTTAGTTGCCTCTGACACTTGCTTCCACAGACTTCTCACATTTGAGAAGTCTGCTCACACGCTGCTTTGTAATTGCCTGTTTGCTTGATTTTATCTCACTAATCAGTAACATCGTTAACTCATTCACTATTTATTTATTTATTTATTTATTTATTTATTTATTTATTTATTTATTTCCTGAGCGAGAGAGAAGCATGGATTTGTTGTTCCACATTTATTTATGGGTTCATCGGTTGTTTCTTTTACGTGCGCTGCCAAGGGATGGACATCAACCTTAGTGTACCGAGAGGATGCTCTAACCAACTGAATAACCAGCTAGAGCCTGTTCACCCTTTTTTTAATTAAGCAATACGTACTAATTGTTAACTATGTGCCATATATACACGACAAAGACTGAGACCTTGCCTTGAAGAACAGTAACAGCCTCCACCTTTAGAGATTTCGGCGTCTAAGAGCCATAGGCTGCACCCTGTAGGACCGAACAATTGAACGACCTTCACCAACCCGTGATGCCGCGCGGACTTCTGGGAATTGTAGTCTGCAGATTCCAGCCATTCTAAGGCGCAGGCCGTAGAGAGGAAGGCCGTTTTGCTATCAATGCGCATGTCCTGGGAGGCGGAGTGGCGGCTCTGCGCATGCCTATAGGGTGGGGGTGAGACCGAAAGGCGGTGCGCTGTGGAGGCGGGGATTCCGGTCCTTCAAGCTGAGGCGACAGAGCTCTATCTGCTGGGATGGCGGGGAGGGGGAAGCTGATTGCGGTGATCGGAGACGAGGACACGGTGACTGGCTTCCTGCTGGGCGGCATAGGGGAGCTTAACAAGAACCGCCACCCTAATTTCCTGGTGGTGGAGAAGGATACAACCGTCAATGAGATCGAAGACACTTTCCGGTACGGTAGCCAGCGAGGCCAGATCGGGACCCTCTGCTGCTTGATGGGAGCACTGGGAGAAGGCGGGGGCGGCGCGGGGACTGGCGTCTTGGGGCTTCTAGACCCTGGCCGAAGTGTTAGTTCCCCCTCGAGGGTCAGGGAGATCGATCGGTCCGCCGGCCCTTCCTGAGAGAAGTCCTTCGTGCCCCAAATTCCCTTTGGGGGCTACATCGGGTTCACGAGCTCCCATCTCACATGACCGTGTGTCAGGAAAGAAGGGGAACAAGCTCGTGGCGGGCGCCGCCCCTCGGCGCTACCTGCCCCGCCACGGTTTGGCGTCCGGAGCGCCCAGGACCCGGATGCGGGCAGTCTCTGCTCCTCTGCAGGGTCTCCCCGTTCACCCGTAGAGCAGGCTGCGGGTGTTGCTAGCACTAGGCGCTCCTGCCGCAGCGAACACTTAGGCGGTCCTGGGCTCGAGCTTTCTTGTATTTTCGTCTGCCTTACAGGCTCCGAGTAGTTCGGTAAGACCGGGGTTGTTATTCCCACTTATACGCCTGAGAACACTAAAGCTCGGAGAGGTTAAGGCACATACTAAAGTCACATGATTTGGAAGAGAGCGAGTAGGAATTTGAACCCAGTCCCAGACCTTTCTTAAACCAGGTCCACAAGCTGCCTGTGCCGCTCTCCCTATTCTGTCTTGAAATTTCCCACTGTCCTGAGCACAGTGGGCAGAATATCAGTGCTGGGTCCTGCTTTCTGCAGGCATGTCCCCAAATTCAGGCAGCGTCCTGGTGACTAGAATGGAGGATGCCAGCCCCCTGTTCTTTCCCTCACCCCTTCTCCAGGGCCCTGCCGCCAAGTCCCAGGAACAAAGCTCTCTCACCTGTTTTTACCCTCAACGGCCCAGCCCTGAGCTGCCAGTTGAGACTGGTTCGTGTTGCCTGCGGCCAGATAGGGGCCGACCTGGGAGGCTGATCCCAGCGACTGATCTCAGCCGATCTCTGAGCCGATCTCTGAGCTCTGGTAAAGTGACCCCAGTTGTCAAGAAGGACAAATTCCACTTCAAGAACTTGCCATGTTTCCAACCAAAAGGGACCTCAGAGATCAAGTGTAACCTATCCCAGTGCCTGGCACAGAGGAAGTGCTCTTTAAAATTATTTTAAATAATTTTAAAATTATTAATATTAAATGTCTTGGGGTAACATTGGTTAATAACGTAAGTTTCAGGTGCACAACTTCCTAATACAAAGTAAATAGTTTTAACGGATAGGTAAATGAATGAATGGGTGGGTGGTCCCAAGAGCAGAAGATCCCAGGGCCAAGTCCTCTCTGTGTGGAAAGTGTGATTTTTGTTGCTGATTTTCCTCTGACTGTGCTGTGTTTGGGGCTCATGGCTGACTTCCCCAGTGACCCATCCCTGTCCGTGTCACTGCGGACTTTGAGGTTTCTAGTGGTCTCATCAACCCCCCTTTTAAAAAATTTCAGTTTGCTTTCCTTTGAAAAGTTAATGCGTTCGTGTGGTTTGCAACTTAATACAAGGTTGACATGTCGTCGTCTCACGCCCATCCCTGTCCTCTTCCACCGGATGACCTCCCTCTTCCCCCGTGGATACCCACGTAGCTGCTTTCCACGCCTTCCTTATGCAAACACAAAGGGACGGACAGACTTACTGTCCTCTCCCTTCGTTACCCAAAGGTAGCATATGGAACACACCACTGTGAACCCTGATGTGCAATTCCAGTGCACTTAGGAGCTTTCTGAGCAGCGGGGGTAGAAGCCACCCTTGACCATGGCCCCTAGCTTCCGAATGAAATTGATTCTGGGGAGGATGGAGAGTTTTGTGTGGCAGCCTTTATACCCTTGTCTCCCGTGCTCTCTGGGTGAAGCTCGTTCATTCCCCTGCCGCCCAGCTGCTAACTTGCAGTGGGCTGCCATGGTCTCCCTTCTCCTGTCTCCAACAGGCAGTTTCTGAACCGGGACGATATCGGCATCATCCTCATCAACCAGTACATCGCAGAGATGGTGCGGCACGCCCTCGATGCCCACCAGCGCTCCATCCCGGCCGTCCTGGAGATCCCGTCCAAGGAGCACCCCTACGACGCCGCCAAGGACTCCATCCTGCGCAGGGCCAGGGGCATGTTCACGGCCGAAGACCTGCGCTGAAGGGCTCCCCGCCGCCCTGCCGCCGCTCCCAGGCTTGCCAGCGGCCCCTTTCTAAGTTTTGAGGTTCTGATTCCCAATTTCCCACCCCTTCCCACTCCATCGAGAGTCTAGATGAGGTGCTTCCATGTTGCTGGGGCTCCACCATTAAAATCAAGACTGGTCAGGGAACTGGAAGGCTGATTGTCCTCGCTCTCCACTACCTCTTTCCTGTGCTGTTACACAGTGTCACTGTTGATATTAAATTAAATAATGTTCTTGCTTCTCTCCAAACTGAGCCTGGGTGCTAGAAAGGACACGTGCGCAGTGAGGCTGTTGGAGGGATTAGCTGGGCAGGGCTGGGGAAGGTTCTGTCCAAGAGCCGGGCACGGAGGAGCTGGGAGAGGAGGGTTGTCTATGGCAAGGAGGCCATAACCCTAGAACTGGCCCTCTGAATCAGAGACGACCAGCTCTGGCAGGGCGGAGCGGGGGCAGGCTTGTGCCCAGACCCCTGGCTCCCCTACTTCAGTCTGTATTGGTTGGGGGTGTGGGGGGACCGGACCCAAGGGATGGAAGCGGAAAGCACAGGAAATCCTGAAGCCTGTGATACTAGACTGGGCCTGGGGCCTGCAGAAGGTGTGGGGATCGAGGCCCTTAGCCAGTGGGCCTGGCCCGAGGCTGCCTCAGCTAGCAAGGCGGGTGAGGCCTGCTGAGGGCATGGCAGGTAGAACCCTGGCCCTGTGTGAGGTGAGGCATGGTTGCCTGGTGACCGCCCCTGGCCAGCCGCCTGCCGGCAGCAGGGCTCTGCTTGCTGTGCTCGCCCCTCAGCTGTGGCCACCCCGGTGGCTCTCCTCCTCTTGCCACCATGATGCGGCAACTCAACATGGATACGGTGCAGCAGAACTTCTGGAAGGAGGAGTTTCTGAGGGAGAAGATGTTGCGCTGTGAGTGGCATCGCAAGTACGGGTCGATGGTGAAGGCCAAGCAGAAGGCTAAGGCCGCAGCCCGCCTGCCCCTCCACCTGCCCACCCTGCATCCCAAAGCCCCACTCTCACCGCCGCCTGCCCCCAAGGCAGGCCCTTCCAGGGCCCCCAGCCCTCCCCTGGAGGCTCCTGAGCAGCCAGAAATGTACCCCGTCCCGCCGGCCACCCGGGCCCTGCTGTACGAAGGCATCTCCCACGACTCCCAGGGGCGCTACCGCTACCTCAACGCCCGCCACCGGGACATACCGGAGATGCGCTACCGCTTCCCCGTCACCACCAGCTTCACGTACGGCTGGCAGCTGGGTGAGCCCCAATCTGGAAATTCCCTCACAAGCACAGGCACCTGCCATGAACCAGGCAGTGTGCCGGGCACTAGGCACACAAGACTCGTGGACACTCCTTTCTGGGGCATCCATGAGAGCAAGGGAATGTCAGATGCAAAAGCTCCAGGAGGAGATTAGAGAGTGATGGGGTGGGAGCGAGGCGGGGTGGGGGTGTGCTCCCTCAGGTGGGGTGGTCGGGGAAGGCCTGACTGGGGACTGGAAAACTTAGCGCTAAATGACGAGGAGGAGTTTGGGGTGTATTCCAAGCATGAGCATGAGGGGAAGCCAGTGGAAGGTTTTAGGCAGGTGAGCACACAGATTTGCTTTTTGAAAAATCACCTCAACTGCTTTGTAGGTACTGGCTTTTGCTGGGGGAAGTGTGGCTGGTAGGTGAGTCAGGCAGCTACTCGGAGTTTTCCTAGTGAGGGGAGATAGAGAACTTGGGCCAGGGTGGGTAGCAGAGCTGGAATAGGTTCAGGATATGTTTTCCAAGAAGAATCAGTGGAACTTTCTGATGGATTGAGTGAGAGAGGGTAAGAATGCTGATGACACCCAGGTGTTGGGCTGAAGCAGCTGCGACAGGGAGGCCTGGGAGAGGAGGGGCCGAAGGGCCTGTGAAGACAGGTCGGCGCTGGCCCCGAGTCAGTGAGGCAGCTGCGTATGGAAGTCACCCTCGAGCTAGCTCAGAGGTGAAGATGGGAATCGGGGGGCATCAGAAAGTGGGTGCTCTCTAAAACCCTGAGACTGGGCGAGCTCACCAAGGGAGCTCTAGATCCTGAAGTGTGGCAGGAGGAGAGGCGGGGGGCAAAGAGGGGTAGGGAGTGGGTGTTGGTGTCCATCTGGACTGAGTATGCTTTTCTGTGAGGCGGAGTCACGGCCAGCGGTGGGGAGGCAGCGGAGCAGAGGCGGGGTGTAGTGTGAGAAGAGAGGAGGTGTGGGGAGAGGAGCTCGCCAGGGGTGGTGCCGGGCTGCGGGGTGGTGCTGAGCGCCCTCCGTTCTCTGTGGCCTTGAGCTCCGAGTGCACTGCTCGGTCGTGTTCCCCCAGCTGTTGCAGTGCCTGGGCAGAACAGGTGGATGGTTGGGAGCACACACAGTTCAAAGTTTGCCTGAAAACTCCCCCCACCCCCACTTCCCCCGGGGCCCTAAAAGGGAAGTAAAGGGAACGATTTCCAACCAAAGCAGGGGTGGAAAAAAGCCCCGGTTGTCGCAGGGAAGTCTAGCTTTGTCCTTCCCTGTGAAGCAGCGCCCCCTCCGCGGAGGCTGGGGGCGATGATGGGGCGCAGCCGAATGGCATTCCACCGTCACGTCACGGTGGCGCTGGGCACCCCCCTGCTCCCCGTGTTCCTGCAGCCCCCGCGCCTCGCCTCGGAAGCACTTTGTGTTTCTTCTCGCTTACAAAGTGGACACGACGCGGTCAGACACCTGGGGATGGCGGGCAGGGCCCCGCGCTCTGCGCATTGCCTTCCCAGGAACCCACTCCTGGCCTCGGACGTCTCTCCGCAGGCCCGCCGGTGAAGCAAGACACGGTCTTCTGCAAGATGTGCCACATTGAGTCGTTCTTCCGCAAGAACGGGGCCTTCTCGCCCCTTGACCCCCAGGACCTGGCCCTCTGACCGGGGGTTGGGCAGTGTGCTGACGGGTGGGAAGAAGAATCACCCGCCACCTGGTGGAACGAAGCTGCCGTGTGTCTGTGTCTGTGTCTGTGTGTCTGTGGCTCTCCCAGGTCCTGAGGTTGCACCATGGGCCTTTTTTTTTTAAATGACTTTTCAAAAAATATTTTATTTTCTTTTTTAGAGAGAGGGGGGAGGAAGGAGGAAGAGGGGGAAACATTGATGTGAGAGAGAAACATGGATGGAGAAACATGGATCGGTTGCCTCTCACGTGCCCCCAACGGAGGACCTGGCCTGCAAGCCAGGAATCCACAGGCCCCGGCCGTTGGGCTTACAGGCAGGCGGGCGCTCAGTCCGCTGAGCCACACCAGCCAGGCATGAGCCTTTTTGAAACTACCTTCGACCGGCAGGTTGCCCTCTTGTTTGCCCTTAACCCCCACCTCATTAATCATCCTTTTGAAGATTCAGCAGCGGTTAGAGACTGGGAAGGATGAGCACTATTTTCCAGGTGCAGGCTCCTCAGCGCCAGGAGGGCACAGGAGCTGCTGGAAGTTCTGGGTGTTCCTGGGGAGAGAGGGGCCTGTTATCCCAGATGCCAGGGAAGGGGGGTCGCCGCCATCCCGTAAGCCTCTCCCCTCCCCCACCCCTCACCTGGCTCCGAGGGCCCGCAGCCTCCCTGTCCTCTCCCGGTGCACCTGTTCCAGCTGCTCCCGCAGAGCGCGCCGCTGCCCCTCCATGTCCATCTGGGCGGAGTGGAGCCCTGAGCGCCCTTGCATCCCAGCCGAGGCTTAACAGGAGCCAGCAGGAGGCAGCACCCAGACTCCCCTACCCGGCCTCTCCATGGGTGACAGCGCAAGTGCAGGGCGCGTGCACTTCAAAGGGACCCAGCTAGTGCCCGGCTAGACCCCTGCCCCTCACCGCCTTCTCCCGGGGGTCTTGCCTGTGGCTGGATCTGAGCTGGGCTGGGTGGGGGCCCCAGGGGGTGCACCCGGCAGAGACGGTTCCTGGCGATGCGAAGGCGGTCCAGGACCTGGTGTTGAGAGCTGTCAGCGGGCGGTGGCCACCTTTCTGTGCCCAGCCCGCCAGCGGTCCCACCCAGCACAGGGACGCACGCACCCGGAGCCGCTGCTGCTCGCGGTCCTGCCACCGCCGGCGCCTGGCCGCGCCCTGCAACTCCAGCAGCCGCTGCAGGGCCGTCTCCCGCTGCGCCGCACTCAGACCCTCCGAGGCCTTTTCCTTGCCCGGGGAGCCCGGCCATGCGGCCTTCGGAGCCTTGGGGCCCTTGGCAGCGCCCCTCCGCTCTTCAAGAGGGCCCGGGAACCTCTCAGAGCCATCCGCCCCCCGCCCCTTCGCCTCGCCCATCTGCTGCTCTGCGGGACCTGGGCCGCCTCCCGGGTCCTGCAGGCCGTACCGATTGCGCACCAGCCCTGGGTGCCCTGGGAGAGCTGTAGGGCGCTCCAGCTGCTCAGAGTCCGGGGTACTCAGGGCGGATAGCATCACAGCTCCTGCGCTTGGGAGCTGCGGCTGGGCCAGGGGCTTCTGTAGCTGAAGGGGAGCCAGCGCCCCCTTTTGGCCGGCCCGCTGCTCTCCCGCGGCCAGGGCCTTGTCTTGTCTCTGGCCGTGGGTCTTGTCCCGTGTCAGCTGGACGTCCCTTCCCCGGGGGCCCGGGCCCTCCCTTCTCCCGGACTGCGATATCCGTTCTCCCAGAGACTCGCAGAAGTCCCCCCGCGTTCCCCAGGAGCCGCCTTCCTCCCTGGGTGGTGTAGGCACCTCTCCCTGAGCCACCCCCCAGGCTTGTGAGATCCAGCCCCTGCCTCCAGAGGAGGGAAGGTCCTTCACCTCCAGGCTCTGGGGGGTCTCCTTTGTCCGGCACTCAAGGCAATTTCCTTTTGGATCTTGAAGAGCATCTTTTTCCTCTCCCTGAGGGGTCTCCCACCCCAGACCCCCAGAGACCTCTTGTCCCAGAGCCTGCGGAGCCTCCCCACTCTGACCCTGGTTGGCCTTCTCTGTCTGAGTCTGAGGAGCTTCTTTGTTCTCCCCCTGGGGGGCTTCCTCCCCCTGACCCTGAGGGGTCTCCTCTCTCTCCCCCTGAGGATTCTCCTCTCTCTGACTCTGAGGGATCTCAATCCCCAGAAGTTTCTGAAGTTCTGTTCTGTCCTGGCTCAAGCTCCAGCAGAGCCCCTCGGCGGAATCTTGGTGTTCGGGCAGGCCTGAGGGCCCCGTGACCTCCTGAGGGATCTTTCTTCCCTGTGGGCTTCCGAATGGTGGGGGAAGGGGCCTGTGGGTCGTGGGCTCGGCTTGGCCCCTCTCTTCCTTCAGGATGAGGTTCTGGGGAGGGAGAGCACTTTGTTCCAGGCTGCTGAGGGAATCCCTGTGCCAGGACCACCGGGTGGGGGGAGCCTGGAGACCCCAGTGGCTCTCCCCAGGGGCCTCATTTCCATTACAGCCCTTCCTGATTCCTGAGCTTGTTACACCCATGTTATGCAGTGACGGTCCCTTCTTCCACCGGGCTGTAGGAGGTGCCCTGCCTGGACCCAGCAGCCTCCTCCAGGGCAGGCCCCGCCCACACCTGCTGTCCCCAGTCTGAGAGGGCCCTGGCCCAGGACGCTTTGACCCCTTCACCTTGAACTCTGAGTTTCCTGGTTCCCCAAAGCTGCTGCGGGTGGTGCGGCCCAGCTCTCGTAAGCAACCTGAGGGAGAAAGATTGACGTGAGGAGGCCTGTGCGCAGGCCCCAGCCCCCACACATTCCACCGGAACTGGAACCAAGAAACCTAGGGCATCCCGGGCGGTTAAAGGGAGGGGATGCCCAGAGAGTTGGTGTTTGAACTTTGAGGCTGTCATAGTTTATTGTTTCACCTTTATTTACTCAGCCCGGCATGTGCCTGCTTGCCAGGTTTGCCTGCTCACAGCCGACCCCACCTTCCTCATCCTCTCGGACCCCTGCGTGCTCTCTTCCTCCACCGAGGGATGCCTGGGAGCCGGAAGGGCCTCCTAAGGACACCCTCACTTTGTCCCGACAGGCCCACCCAGGCCCGTAAAAAAACCCACTGCGTCTACCTCACTTCACTATCACTGAGGAAAACCCTCTTAGCTCTTTTGTGGTTTCTGACAGCAAAATCAAATAAAACTCAAGAAGTAAAGTTTTAGGCCAGAGCCGGGCCTCAAAACGGCAACGCCTTCATAAGTAACAAAAGGAGTCTGAAAGAGGAGATGCGATGTCGCTGCTCCCGTGCAGCTGGGGAGGGCAAGACACCAGGCATCCAGAAAACCGGTGGGAGACCTTGATTTCACGAGGTCTCGGATTGAGACCTTTCTCGGGAACATCCTGTCTTTACGCAGGATGGGTGTGGGTGTTTCGCAACAGTAACCAAGAGGGAATGTCCTCTGAAAATACCTGTCTTTGGAAGAGTTTCTGGACCCAGGGGTCCGATAAGATGGCCAAGCCTTTAGAAATTATTGCCACGAACGGAAAAAACCTCCAAGCCCCTTCCTCTGTAATTCTGGTCTGTAGGCTCCCTAGACCATCTCTCTCTCTCTCTGGTAGGGGTGTAACTGATGTCTCCACATTCCCACGTGTTCCCACCCTCGTAAAAATGTCTCCATCGACAGGAAAGGGATCATCGGCACTTTCTTCCTCTCTCTCACACCCGCTGGAGTAATCAAAAGCTCATGGTTTTGCTGGGTTTATGATTTAACGAGTCCTTTGAGAGTCTGTTTCTTTCAAATTAACAGGCCCAGGGCTCACAGCCTCTGTCCCCCTGGATTCTCATCACCTGTTGATGGCCACGCTCTGTCGCTAGGCTGAGGTCTCAGAGACAAGGACCAAGTGGCAGGGCCAAGACCCTCGTGCTCCGTGTGCCCCCAGAGCCTGGCCTGGGCGAGGCCGATGGGCTGCTCCGTTCCCTCCGGAGCGGCCACGGACAGACATCCCACACGTCCCTTCCCTGAGTCCCAGCTTAGCTTCCAAACCCTCCCGGACACAGCACCCGAGACAGCCGCTGCCAATCAGGGGGCACTGTACGTAACATAAAACCTGCTTGTCCCCCTGGGTGCCCCAACGACACCCAAAAAAAGGTGTGAGACGAAGAATGAGTGAGGACTTCCCTGCCTCCTCCCCGTCTAGTCTGGCCACCCCAGCCCAGGGGCTCCCGCTGACCCGGCTGCTGACCCCTCCCGTCAACATACCAGGTGTGGGCTCCGCAGGCACGCCAGGGCTTTCCCACCTTGGGGCTGTGTCACTCCTGGCTTCCCCGGGATCTGGGGCTGACGGCCGGCCTGCAGGCTGCCCCCTGCTGGAGTGCAAAGGCTGCCTCAGATGCACCTCCTGCCTCTGGGCTCTGGAAGGGGGAACACCCGCCTGCCCGTCTCCCCACCCCAGCAGGCTGCTGAGCCTTCCCACCACAACATCCAGACTCAACCCACGGCGGCCTGCCCCGGCGCCTGCATCCACCACGGACCCTGGGAGCTGGACCGGGGTCGGTGGGGCACTGGGGCAGCCATGTGGGTGTGGCTGAGGGAGAGCCCCGGGAGGAGCCTGGGCTGGGGAAGGAGACCAGGAAAGCGGCCGGTCCTTGGTCACTTCGTGTGGCAACACGGAGCGCACAGGTTCCCTGGGAGAAACACTCACCCCTCCAGGAAGCGACAGTGCTGGCTCAGGGTGTCCCCAGCCTGGGGTGATGAGCACCCGGAACTCTGGAAGAGTTTGGGCGTGGACTAGTCCCCAGGGCACCAGTGCGGTAGGCAGCCTTGAAAATGGCCCCCAGAGACCCCTCCCCCTGGCACCCATGCTTTTGGGTGGCCCCCTCCCCTCCCCCTCCAGGTGAAGGAGCTTGGACAGGGTCCCTCCTGCCCAGTCGAGCCTTCTCATGAGCCCACTGTCCCGGCTGACAACACGGGCTGGACACTTCCTCCTCCTTGGCCCAGAGACAGCTATGCCCTGCCCACGGTGCATCGGCAGCTGGTGGCTGAGCCGCACTGGAGGCACAGTCACCGTTCCCAGTCACCACAGCACCCTTCTTCCTAGAGGGGTCGGCCCAGCCACTGTGCTGCAGGGAGGGGCCCGTGGCTGGGGCTGCTCAGTGCCGCGTGTCAGAGGCTCCCTGGGCATCAGCACCTCTGCCCCGGGGTCCTGCCAGCCCAGCTTTCCTCGCACGCCGTGGCCACGTCCAAAGGCTTCTAGGCATGACCACACAGCTGATGTGACCGGGACCCTTGTGAACTGTGGACTGGTGGGAACAGCCTGCCCAGAACCGGCAGGCCTTGTGCTCCTGGCACAGCACTAAACCCTTCACATGGACGAGTTCCAAGGTCCTGCAGCTGCAGCCCTCTGAGAAAGGGGTTATCTCCCCCATTTCTTCGTATGTGGAGGCTTGCAGTCCCCACAGAGCATCAGAGCAGAGATCTGGACCAGATCCATCTGTCTCTGAAGCCCACCCTCCTTCCACTTCCCTTACCGCTGCCATTGCCCTCCCCCACGCCCACTGACACCCTTGCTCACCCCACACGTCCGCTGACTGGAGTCTGCACCCATCCCCCCACAGGGCTCGCCGCGCTGGCTCCATGCACGCTGGGCCTGGTCCTTCAGGCCACCGACCCGGACCCGGGGAGGCCAGAAGAGGCCCAGCCCTGCCCCAGTTAGCAGCTCCAAGTCCCACAGGAGCTGCAGAGAGACGGGATGCCAGGATGCGAGGGGGCTCCCACCCTGTCCTCTGCCACACCCCCAGCCAGCCCTTACCTGCTCCTGGGCCCGCCGGCCCCGCTCCATCTCCAGCAGCACAGTGGGCAGCTCCAGGCCTGGGGGGCAGGCCCGGCCCTCACGCACCTGGGGAGACAACATTGGGTCAGGCCCCACGGAAAGCCTGTCCCCTCGGAGACAGTGCCAGGCCTCCCTCACCTGCCGCAGTGCAGCCCGGAGCTGGCCCAGGCTTGCAGGGCACCGGAAGAGCCGCTGGTACAGAGCCAAGGCCTGCTTGGGGCTACAAGGGAGCCCCAGGTCCCCGGGTGTGGCTGCCTGCGCCATGAAGTGGGAGCCGGAACAGACGACCCCTCCCTCCCCTCTCCCTGCGCCCCTGCGGCCTGGGGAGAGGAGCTGCACACAGGAGCACGGAGCCTGTGCACACAGGCTGCACACAGGAGCAGGGAGACAAAGCCTCTGAGCTCAATAATGCAGGACCCTGACATCTGAGCCACGGCCTGGACCCCTGCCAAGCCCCACAGAGATGCAGTCCTGACTCTGAAAGGGTTTCTCGGTCATGCAGGTGGCGGTGCAGGGTCAGGGGTGTGATCCTGCCGGGAGAGGTGTGTGCATGGGCTGGTCTGCGGTCCCAAACGAGTATCTGTTTTTCGTCCACATGCGCACATGCACATACGAAGCGGCACTGTTACATAGGCAACTAATGTGCTCAATATTGGCGGCAGCTGCCAACAGCGGGCTGTCTGCCAGGGCACCAGCGCTCTGCATGGTGATTCTTCCTCTCAGCAATGCGCTGAAATAGGCACTACCATTCCTGTTCCCATTTTACAGCTCAGAAAACTGGGCCCCAGAGAGTGAGCTGCCCTACCTGACAGGTGCACCGTCTCCCTCACCTGGAGACAGGTGGCCAGGATACACTGGCCCTGGGAAAACATGGCCCCTGAGTGTAGCTGTCACAGGCAGGACAATGGCCAGCGTTTCCCTAGTGCTGGCTGCAAGCTGTCCCTGTGCAGAGCGCTCGCTGCTCGTGGGTCGTTCTGCTCATCCCTTGCAATGCATCCTACGAGGACAGTCTGTGTGGTAGGAGCAGGGCAGGGAGCGAACATGCGAGAGCGCCTGCAATCCTCGCAGCCTCTGCTGTCAGGAGCAGACTCGCCTGCCTGCTGCTCCGTAACCGCCCCACGAGACAAGGCAGCCCCAGAGGGCGGCCTCAGCAGAGCAAGCAGGCGGGAGACGACCTCAGTTCAGCCCAACACTCTCCCTTCACTCCTGTGGAAATATGAGGGACCTAGCCATGAGAATAGGGTCCCCCTTGATCTTTTAGCCAAGGTCCTAAAATGCCAAGGTCACATAGCCTGTAGGTGGCAAAGACAACTCAAAATAGAGTTCACCTTGAAAAGATATTTTTGCCCTGGCCAGGTAGCTCAGGTGATTAGGGCGTCGCCCTGAACCACGGTCAGGGCACATACAAGAATCAACCAGTGAATGCACAAGTAAGTGGGACAACACATTGATGTTGCTCTCTCTCAAGTCAATTAAAAAGTAACATAAAAATAAAACAATGAAAACACATTTTTCCTTTTCAAAGAAATAAGAGTTTTTCTTTTTTGAGAAATATTTTATTTACTTTCAGAGAGAGGGAAGGGGAGGGCAGAAGAGAGGGGGACAAACATCGATGCGAGAGAGAAACATCGATCGGCTGCCTCCCGCGTGCACCCCACCTGGTGACCGAACCCGCAACCCGAGCATGTGCCCCGACCAGGAATAGAACCGCCAACCCTTCACTTTGCAGGATGACACCCACCCAACTGAGCCACACCGGTCAGGACAGAAATGGACTTTTTCTGTTTCAAAACCCATGTTCTTTCCCCTGTGAGGATGTCTTTGAAAGTTGCATGTGTGTGCCCTGCCCACACTCCCCCCAGGGGGCAGATGTGGCAGTTAATGCACACGTGTGTGGGGTATGTACACACACGTGTGTGTCTGTACTTCCTCACGGCCCTGGGCCCCACCCCAGGCACAGGGTCCCTGTACCAGCAGCGCTCAGAGTGGCCCAGGGGCCCCTGAGTCCTTGGCATCCCTAAACGGAGAGAAAGGGGATGCATGTGGGCAGCAAGCCTATTCTCTGAGCACCCCGAGCCCCGCGGGGTTCCTCGTGGACCTGCAGAGGACACCACGTGGGGCAGCCCCAGGGCGGGGCAGGCGGGGCAGCCCAGGGATGTAGGCAGAGGAGCGGGTGAGGCCCAGAGCTGAGTGGGGACACCGGCTCTGACGGGGGACGCTGGCTTCACGCCCCCCCCCCCACCCCCGCCGGGAGGAAGCACACGCGCACACACAAGGCAGCCTTGGAACAGGCCCCGAGTTTACTGCTTCTCACTCCATGAGGCCGGGGGCTCTGCGGGACGCAGGCCCAGGCTCCCGCTGCCAGCAGGGCGCGCTCTCTCGGAAGAAGCCCCAGCCAGCCCGGGAGCTGCTCTCCAAAGAGAGGCTTCTGGTCTGATGAGTCCTGGTCGGTGTCATCCTGGGTCAGGGCGCCCCCCTGGGCTCCTGGCTGGGGCCGAGCAGATGATCGCTGGCAGGCTGGTCCCCGCTGAGCAGGACTGGGGGGCAGGCCTCAGGCGGGATACAGTGGGCCTCGTGCTCCACCAGGCCGGCGGGGCACTGGCAGCCGGGAACGCAGGGCCTCACGCAGTGGGCGGCCAGCTCGCCCAGGGGCACGTGCCGGTTGAAGCAGGTGCGCGGGCAGGGCGGGCCACACTCGTCGAACACGAAGCCACGGTCCAGGGCACAGCCCACCACTGCAGGTGAAGTGGAAGGCAGGGCCCAGTGCTCCAGGCACCCTGCTCGCCCCTCGCAGCCCTCCCTGCACCTACCCCGCACCCCCTGGACGGGAGCCCTCTGAACCACCCCCTCCCCCACCCCACACCGCCCACAGCTGGCTCACCACAGAGCGCGGGGCCCCGCCAGGCAGGTGTCACCCCTGCCTGGCGACAGTGGCTGGCATAGGCTTCCAGGACATCACAGAGGCAGGCGTCAGCCGAGGAGCCAAGGCCACAGGCACACAGGTCGTAAACACAGGCGGCAAAGAAGGGCTCCGGTGGCACCACGGCGTGGCAGCGAGTGAACGGGGCGGACTTCAGCACGCCGCACCGGCCATTGGCCTCGCGCCTGGCTCGGTAGCCTGCTGCTCGGCAAGGATCCACCTCGCGGCCCTCGGAACAGGGCCGACCGGGTCCCCGCCCCTCTGGGACCTAGTGGGGAAAGTGGCCCTGCGGTGACAGCATCCCTGGGCAGCTGACCTTTGTCTGCTGCTTCTCGAAGCATTTCCCACCTAACATTTTGTTTTAGCCTCAAAAACCTCCCTACAAGAGTAGCCAAGGAAGCATCGGCTACTTTTCCTTAGTTTGCATTCTGGGGACAAACCAAGGCCCAGAGCAGGCAAGTAACTTGTTGAAAGTCACACAGCCCATAGCAGCAAAGTAGGGCTTGAGCTGGCATTTGGTGCGGCCTCTTCCAACAGGCCATCCTGCCTCCTCTAGCTCTGTGAAGGGCAGGAAGCCCCCACACCACCCTAAAGTGCAACAGCTCATCCGGTGTCCACCCTGCCTGCATTTCTGTACCAGAGGACTACTCTGAAGCTCAGGTTCCACTGTGCCATCTCCAGCCTGCCCCCCACCCCAGACCCCTCAGCGTCCCGGGCTCCAGCACCACTCACCTGCCAGCTATTCCCAAATGCAGCCTCAGTGGGTAGGAGCAGCCCCTCAGGGCCCTGCAGGTCATCCTGGGCAAAGCCATTGAAATTCCCGCAGAGCCCGCACATCCGGCCCCGGTAGGAGCCAGGCACGCTCACCTCCACCTGGGACTGCCCGTCCCACAGCACCTGTGCAGGGAGGCTGTGGCTGGGGAGTGGGGAAATACAGGGACCCCAAGAAGCCCAAGGTCCATCCTAGCCACAGGCACTGGATCAGCACATGCCCTGCTGTAGGATGAAGGCTCTCCATGGAAGGGAGGCTGCCCTGGCCAAGGCCAAGTTTGCACATGCTGTGGCATCTGTGAAGAGCCACCCACAGCTCCCAGGAAGGCACCTTCTGTCTGCATCCCTGAACTGGGCCCCCAGGGGAAATGCACCCACTTCCAGAGATGCACTCTCTCGTGGGTATTCAGGCTTTACAGAGGCCAAAGTGCAATTAGAGTCTGGCTTGTAAATGTGGACAAGTCTTACTGTATAATTTTACAAATTAAGCTTCTTGCTGGAGGTCAAGGAGTGAATTACTCTTTGCCTTAGGAGTTGGAAGGAATCCTGAACCCACCTAGGAGACCTTAGTTGGCCTGTCCCCACTAACCCTTCCCCCATATCACCAATGAGGAGACTGAGGCCCAAACAGGACTGGTACAGGCCTGAGAGGCCCAGTGTGTTGGTGGCTGAGCCAAGATTAGAAACCAGGCTCAGAACTCCTTTCGTTGCACTTCGAGGCCTCTCACGCTGATTCCTCTTCTCCCCTCAGAATCCAGCAGAACTCTCTCACCTTTGTGGCCAAGTGCAGCCAGGAAAGTAGCCGGTAATGCCCACTCCCTCCACAGACACGGAAGCCTGAGCAGACCTGAGGCTGCCCGACCCCACTCGCCCTGGGCGCACCTGGAGCCCCGGCTGGGCGTGCAACATCACGGTGCGTCCCCGCAGCTCCAAGTACAGCAGCGGCTCTCGCAGGTAGGGCAAGGCCACCTGGTGCCCGTCCACCTGCGGGAGAAAGGAGGCAGGAGGAGGGGAGATGTCAGGACTGAGGAGTGGACTGCGCCGGACTGACCTTCCCCCGGGTCCTCCGATTGCCTCACCGTGACAGTCCCGCCCTGCAGCAGCCTCACGGCCACCTCTCCCAGCAGCACCGCCACCTCCTGGGTCCAGGCCACACCGCTCCGACCCCGGTCACTGTTAGTCACGTGCACACTGCGGTGTGAGAGACCCGAGTGCAATGGTCAGCAGGGAGGGTGTAGGGGGTCAGGGAGAGAGAAGACAGAGGGGCTGCGCACCTGAAGTCCTCTCCACGGCAGTCCTTGGCCAGCACGTAGCTGCAGCTGCCCTGAAAGTGCAGCAGGCGGCCGTCGAAGGTGCGGTAATGGGGGTCTCCGAAGGCCATGCAGGAAGCCGGTCGCGGCAGGCAGCGGGGACAGCAGCTGCCGGGATTCAGGGCGGGGGCCTCGTTCTGGCCTCCGCCCCAGACGTGGTCAGACACGCGGCAGTCCCGGCAGAGCCCCACGCAGAGACTCACTGAGGACCAGGGGGAGCTTGGCCTCCCAGACTTCCTGCGAGAGGGCTCAGGGCACCGCCTCGTGGCCGCTCCGGGAACTGCAGGCCCCTGGTCCCACCGCTCCACCGCGGTGGCCCAAGCCCAGGTTCCTCCTTTCCTCAGGGTGGCATCAGGGTGGTGGTGCCACGTGTCCACTCACCCCACTGCCCTAGACCGCGGCACTCACAGGCCCACAGGAGAGCGGCGAGCAGCGCTGCCTCTGGCAGTGCACGGTGCCGGCCACGCAGGAGCAAATGGTGCAGGCGTCCACGGTCCAGCGTTCCCCGGAGGCCACCTGTCGGCCCTGGTGCGCGCACGACTGGGCGGGGGCTGAGAGGACTTGAGGGTAGGGGACAAGTGTCAGCCACTCGTCCCTCGCACTGAGTCTTGGTCCTTCTTCCCTCATCATCCTGGCCTGCACCTTGGCATCGTTCACAGCACCTGCCAGCGTCCTGAACCTTCACCCAGCCAAGGGGGCAGGAGAGGGCCTGGCATTCCTCAAGGTGCCACTCCACGTGGCCCCACTGAGGACAGAGGTCATTTCTCTAGGGACTTCTGCTGTGACCTGGAGCCCCTGGCCTCACACTCCTGAGGACCATCTGGCTCACAGTCTGAGCAGCAGCCCCTTCTCTCCCCGGCCCTGCTCCACAAGAACCCCCACTTCACGTTCAAGTGGGGGGATAAAGTTCAGTCCCCAGATCTGTGCCCCAGCACAGGGATGCCTCTGACCCCTCTCACCTGGGGGGTGGGGGAGGGCTCTTCCCTAATTACCTCAAAGACCCCAGATTCGTTGGCCCAGAGTCCTGAGCCTCCTCTCTTCTATAAGTTCCTCCAACCTCCACCCTCCACCCTCCCACCCCCAGCTCTCATGGCAGGTGCAAGTAATGCAGGCATTGCTGGGGGCCCGCCAGCCCTCTCCATCTGCCACTCTGTGGCCCTCAGCCTCCCCCACACATTCTGATGAGAAGAAATGGGGCTGGGGGAGCACTGTCTATCCAGCTACATCTCTCCTCCCTGGAGCTCACCCTGAAGGCCCACGGTAGGGGGTGCCCACCCTATCCACTTAGCGCCCTGGTGGTGTTGATATCGCCAGCCAGCGTGCAGGGGACCTGCTAGATGGCAGGCTGGGCTGGCTGCCAGCTCAGCAGTGTGGTACCCTACCAGCTGGCCTGGGGTTCCTGGACGCACTGACAAGCCTCAGGCCAGACCTCAAGGATCCAGGCTTCATCCCTGCCTCCCTCTGCCTTATGGGTCTCTCCTTTACCCCAGTGAATAGCCCTCCATTTCTACCAAAGAATGAAGCAGCATTTGCAGTGCAGAACTAGGCCGCCCCTTTGGCCCATGGATGCCACCCCTCCTGTCTTCTTTCCGGGCTCCTGCTCCGAGGGTGCAGGCCAAGGCTGGGCACTCACCCCGGCACGTGGGGCAGCAGCTCCCAGGGCGGGTATGGCGCTCTGATGGGGGGCAGCTGAGCTCAGGACAGGTTCGGTGGATGCAGAGCCAAGTCAGGTCCTGTGCAAGGGCATGTGAACACCATAGGTACAGAACGGCCGGTGGGGGGGAGGGGAGCAGGGCCTTGCAGAATGTGACAAGTGGGAAATGTCAGGGTGAGTGGGAAGCCGGGGGCTGCTACGGGAGAAGATTCAACTGCAGCCCACAGAGGAAGAAGGAGGCCGGGCTTGGGGAGTTCCCAAGGCGGGAGGGCTTACCTGGCACTGGCAGGTGTAGCAGGGGTCCAGCGGGGCCAGCTCAGACCCCAGAAGACCCTCTGTGCAGTTACTCAAAGCCTCTGCGTGGACAAGAATGCGATGTGGAGGGCAGAAGGGGGCGCAGGGGACGTAAGCCCATCTGATCTCACTTTCCCACGCTATCCCCAGACTTCTGGGACCCGGGGCGCATCCATGTCCCATCACCTTGGCTCAGGAAGGATAAATCCTCTTTCCCTCTGGTTCAGCAAAGAAAAGTTGGGACTTTCCGAAAGGAAATTTGCTAGGCTACTGGGGGTGGGGGCTGGAAACTGACCAGGTGTGGCTTCCTCAGCCTGAGGTTCCTAAGGCCCACATGCCGCCCCAGCTGCTCCCTGCCGTGCATCCCTCACACTGCCTGGCTAAAACAGCATAAGACAGCACGAAAAGCCGGGTACCCCCGGTTCCAGTCCTCAGTGTCTGAGCCATTTCAGGCAGAACAATCAACCTCTCGGAACCTCAGTTTCTTCACTTGTAAAAAGGGAATAATAATACCTAACTCACTGGGTAGCTGAGAATTAAATGAGACACTGCTTATTAAAATAACCAAGTACAGGGCATGGCATGCAGTAGGTGCTTAGTAAATGTTAGTCTTTTTCTCTTTCCTTGAAGCACATCCTAGCAAGTGTTGATAAGGATAGCTCTCCCCACTTCTGTGGCTGGGCGGGTCCCTACCCCCATTACCCTGACATCGTCCTCAAGAAGCCAGCGGCTGGCACAGCGGCCATCCCATAGCGCCCCCTGCTGGGCAGGATGCACCTGGCTTCAGAGTCAAGGGGTCCCTGCCAGCCTCCGGAGTTCCACTTGGGGCAGTGCAGGCTTCCCTGGCCAGGGCCTGAGATCTCAGAACAGTCCCCTGGACTCAGGAAAGAGCTGCGGCTGGGACTGTGGAGGAGAGCTGCTGGCGTTTCCAGTGTCAGTCTGGCGTGGCAGCCCTGCCCTTATCTACCCCTATATTGGAGACTCACGGGCACAGGTGGGGCAGCACTGCCGGGGCCCAGGGGGCAGGAGCTGGCTGGCGGGGCAGCCCACCAGGCTGGGACACTGCCGACGGTGACAGCGCAGGCTGGGAGGCCCCTCAGGCTGCAGCTGCAACAGGAGTGAGTGAACAAGGGGTGGGTCCCAGGCCTGGGGAGCTGAGCCCTGCACCCCCTCTCCCCACCCCCCGCCCCCACCGCTGCCCCTGGAGGCCAGACCCCTTCATCCTCCTGCTGCATCTCCTCCGACAGGGAGACTCCGGTCTTCAGAGAGACTCAGCGTCCTCACCCCACACCCTAATCCCCAGTGATGACTTCCCCTTCCTTCTCTTTCCAGTCACTTGGGCCTGAACCTTCATGTGACTGTGACCCTCCTGCACCCCCCTCCCCAACCCCACTGCCTAATCTTTGGACCTATGATGTCACTGCCTGCTCAAAACCCTCCATCGGCTCTCCCTTACCTTTCAAACGGAGATTCCCCAATGGCGTCTCCCAGGGGTCTCCCCCACCTCCTATGCACACCCACCTGACACTCCTGCTAGGTGCCCCGCTGCCTCCCCACACTCACCACTGGTGCTCTGGCTAACTCCAAACTGGCCCCGCTGGCTCTTCGTCCCAAGCCCCACCTCACCACCTGGCCGCAGGGCCGCTCTCCTGTGGGGTGGGGCCTCACCCACCTCGCAGAAGCACACCTCACAGGGGTCTTCCCCCGGCTGGAAGCTCTCTCCGGGCTCGTACTTCCGACCCTCGTGCTCGCAGTCTTGGGCGTGGGGTAAGGGCAGAATAGGACCAGCAAGCCTTCATGCTGGCAACAGTGCCAGGGCTGGGGGGTGGGGTTCTCTGTCTCCCGGGGACCCCCAGCTCCCAGCATTTGGGTGTGTACAAGCACGGGGGCCACTTCTGGAAAAGCCCATCTCTGCTGCCCTGCCCGGTGCCAAGGCAGGGAGATGTTGGCCAGGCTCGGCCTCCCCACCACCCCAGCCCGCCCCGGGCTCCCCGTACCGGAGCATCGAGGGCAGCAGTCACCGGGCCCCTGGTGGGGATGGGCACAGGAGATGACACACTGGACGCGTGCACAGGTGACGGTGCCCTCGTGGCACAGGCAGGAGGAGCAGGGGCTGTCCGGGGGCGCCCAGCTGCTGCCTTCAGGGTGCTCCTCCCCGTGGGCCAGGCAGCCTGTGTCCCGGGGGGGCAGGGGTGAGCTCCGAGTCTGGGTTCGGTGTGCTGCCCCTGGCCACCGGCCTGGGTGGTTAGCGGGGCATGTGGGTCTGGCACGGGAGGGGATCCGCAGGGCCGAGGTGGGAAGGAGGCCCCGGGCAGAGCAGCTCTGAGGGGAGGGGAAGGACGCTAGGTGGGGGGCAGAGCTCCTGGGCGTAACCCCTTCCTTGTCTGCTTGCTCGCTAAACCAAATGCCAGGCCGCAGGCACTTTCTGTTGTAGGCCAGCAGTAGCGCCAGTACCTGGCATGCAGTAGGCATCTAATAAATGCATGTAGAATGAATGAAAGTCTCCATCACTAACCATCACCCCAGATAACTGAATCTCTTCAAGCCGTAATCTTCGCAGCTGTTAAATAGGGATTTTATCTCTCTGCCCACCTCACAGGGCAACAGAGATGCTGTTATGGTTCTGGACTCATAACATGCTGGACAGCAGGCAGGCTAACAAAGGCTCTTATTCTAGCCCTGGCTGGTGTGGCTCAGTGGATTGGGTGCTGGCCTGCAAACCAAAGGGTCACCGGTTCGATTCCCAGTCAGGGCACATGCCTGGGTTGTGGGCCAGGTCCCCAGGAGGGGATGCGTGAGAGGCAACCACACACTGATGTTTTTCTCTCTTTCTTTTTCCCTCCCTTCCCCTCTCTCTAAAAATAAGTTAAACATGAAAAAAAAAACTGGAAAGAAAGAAAGAAAGGCTCTTCTTATTTTAGAACCAGTCAGCCTAATTGCAAATCTTATCTCTGCCACCTACCAGCAGCCTGACCTCAGGTAAGTTACCTTACCTCTCAGTATCTCAGTGCTCTCATTTTTGAAATAAGAATAACAGTACCTAGCTGATAAGATAAGATTGTTGTGTGGATTAAATAAGATTTGTGTACAGTGCCTAGCTCTGGGTGTGGCTCCTGGGGTGTGCTCAGTAAGTGCCGTCATCACTATTATTATGAATGGAGTGCGGTTTGGGAGGGGGCAGCTTTGAGGGGGCTCTACTAGCATCTGGAGGGGGAGATGGTCCGGGCAGGCCAGGGGTGGGGCCGGCAGGAAGACTGGAGGAGGGCAGGGGTGAAGGCTCAAGGACCAAGGTGGGTGAACAGGGAGGTAGAGGGGAGCTGAGGGAAGGGGGGTGGGGCGGATGGTGGAGCACTGGGTCCAGGGGCCAGAGCGAGGGGGCAGCCATGGCGGCAGGGCCTACCTCTGCAGCGAGGGCAGCAGCCCCCCTGCTCTGTGACCTGGAGCGGGCAGGGCAGGGGTGGGCACCGCAGCCGTTCACAGCTGACCTGGCCGGCCTGCAGGAGGTGCTGGGTCAGCGGCTTGCTCCCTGGGCCCGGTGCCTTAGAGGCACTGTGCCCAGCCCCTCTGCCACCTCCCTGACATACCTGACAGCGACACCGCTCACAGCTGCCTGGGGGCCCCTCAAACTCCTCCCCATCCTGGTGCTCCCGGCCCTGAGAGAAGCAGCCTGCGGGCAACAGGCTTCCTGGGTGGGGGCTGTGCCACCTTGCCCTGCCCAAACTCAGGCCGGCCGGGCAGACAGAAGGGAGCAGGTAGGGGAGGGTGTGGGGTCCCAGTGTGTGGGAGGCAGCTCACTGTGGCACACGGGGCAGAAGCAGGGCCCCGGAGAGGGCCGGGGGCAGAGAGCTGGAGGGCACGGCTTCTTCCGGCAGCGCATGGAACCGTCCTGGGGGAGAGAGACCCCGCTGCCACTTCCTGACTCCCGAGTCACCCCATCTGCTGCCCGCAGACCAGGCCACACACTGCCCCGCGATGGGGCGCCCCTGCTGAGCCCGCCAGGCCCGACCCCCTCCTTGGCCCAGGAGACCTGAGTCCAGTCCTGTCCCACTGGTTGTCACAGGCCGACGGTGCCCTGTGAGCCCCAGCTGGAGGAAACAACTCCTGGCCAGAAAGGAGGATCAGGGGTGAGATGAAAGCTTACCGAGTTCCCAAAGGGCCGCCTCACCTGGCAGGTGCAGAGGGAGCAGGTGGGGTCAAGCGGGTCAGGAAGGGTCTCTCCAGGGGCTGCAGCAACCCCATGATAGAGGCATCCTGGCAGAGCGGGGATGTAATGGAAGACCCGCCGTCAATGAAGCTGCCTACTGCCACCCCTCACACACACACACACACACACACACACACACACGCGTGCACACACACACACAGCCAGGACCGGGCACCTCTGCAAAGCTTAGGGAGCCTGAGAAGGAGGAAGAAGTCAGCCAGGCTGTACGCGGTGAGATCTGCATGTGGGAAAGTACGGAAGCCTGGAGGTGGGATCGCAGACCGCTGAGACTGTCCTGTCCCCGTGGGCCAGCGTGGGAAGGGGATGCGGGGGGACGGGCACACCCAGGGAGGAAGGTGAGGGACCAGCTGGGCTCAGGAAGCCGCCCCTCCTGATGCACCCAAGGGCAGAGGGTGCCACTGAATGTTTTCTTTTAAATCTGCACCCGAGGATATGTTTATTGAGTTTAGAGAGAGAGTAAGGGGGAGAGAGAGAGGGTGAGAAAGAGAGAGAGAGAGAAACATGAATCGTTGCCTCCTGTACGCACTCCAACCAGGGATTGAACCCACAACCCTGTGGTGTGCAGGACGACGCTCAACCAACTGAGCCACCCAGCCAGGGCCGGGTGGTTCTGAGCCTCAGAATGTGATATTTTAGGAAGGTAGCAAGACAATTTAAGAGCAGGAAGGTCTGGAAACACAGGGACCGGCTATTTGGTGAATCCGACAGTCAGTGAGAGGTGACCACAGGGACAGAGGAGGGTGTGGATACAGTGTGAAGCATCTAATGAAAACACGGCGTGTGGGTTTGCCGTGTGGCTGCCCCAGGGCCGGGTGACAGTGGCCAGACCGGGTGGCTATGGGCCGCTGGGAGTCCAGGAGGGGCAGTGGCAGGGCAGGCGCCGCCCTACCCTGGCAGGCGGGACAGCAGTGTCCGGACGGGGTGAGCGGGCGGCTGCAGCTCAGAGGCTCACAGGGCCGGCGGCTGCAGGTCACGAAGCCTCCGAGGCAGGTGCACAGGTTGCAGGGCTCTCGGGGATCTGGGAACTCCTGGCCGCTCAGGTAGGACTCCCCTAGATACTCACAGCCTTGCGGAGAGGACAGAGAGAGGCAGGGTGGGGGGCAGAAAGCGGGGAGAGGACAGCGGTCACCGCCTCTGAACTTGCACCTGGCCTGAGTCCAGGGCCTCAGAGACCTGGCCTGGGGGTAGGGAGCGCTCAGTCCAGGCTGCTGGGCGAAGGAGTGGAGAGCTGCGGGGACAGTCGGACTGGCCAAAGGGTCAACGTTTCCCCCTTTGGCCTGCAAAATAATCTCCCCGGCCCATCTATAGGGAAAACCCACATGGAATCCGTGCCGGGGGTGAAATACTCAGCAGCCACTGCCTGGTCGGAAAGCACCGATCTTTCCAACCTGAGGAGACCTGGGAGCGGCTTGAGGCGACGTGGGCGGCCTGGACCCAAAATGTCCCCTTTCCAATGGTCTTCAAGGCCTCTGGTCAGTCAAGGAGGGGGAGGGGCCCCAGGGTGGTGGCAGCCTGCCCTTAGCATCCGCCACCTTCTGACCTTTTTGACAAAGAGGGCGCTCTGGGTGATAAGGATGCGTCAGTGCAGGCTCATCAGCTGTGACCCATGTGCCACACTGGTGAGGCACGACAGCAATGAGGGGGCAGTGCCCGTGGGGGTGGGGTAGGTGGGGACATTCTGTGCCTTCCTCTCAGTTGTGCTGGGGACCTAAACCCTCTCTCTCTCTCTTTAAAGATCTTATTTATTCATTTTTAGAGAGGGGAAGGGAGGGAGAAAGAGAAGAGAAACATCATGTGTGGTTGCCTCTCGTGTGTCCCCTACTGGGGACCTGGCCCAAAACCTAGGCACGAGCCCTGACTGAGAATGGGAACCCTGACCCTTTGGTTCGCAGGCTGGGGTTCAATCCACTGGGCCACACCAGCCAGGGCTAAAATTCCTCTTTAAAAAAGAAAAGTCATGAGAAAAGGGGGAAAGGGGGCTCTGGCTGGTGTGGCTCAGTAGATTGAGTGCTGGCCTGCAAACCAAAGGGTTGCCAGTTCAGTTCCCAGTCAGGGCATATGCCTGGGTTGTGGGCCAGGTCCCCAGTAGGGGGTGCTTGAGAAGCAACCACACATTGATGTTTCTCTCCCTCTCTCTCCCTCCATTCTCCTCTCTCTAAAACTAACTAAATAAAATCTTCTTAAAAATGGGGGAGGGGATGAGCCTCAGGCTCCAGCCTTGACAGGCAAAAACATCTGACTTGAATTTAGTATTTGATTTTTAATTTTATTCATTTTAAAAAAGATTTTATTTATTTATGTTTAGAGAGGGAAGGGAGGGAGATAGAGAGAGAGAAAGAGAAACATCAATGTGGGGTTGCTGGGGGCCATGGCCTGCAACCCAGGCATGTGCCCTGACTGGGAATCGAACCTGCGATGCCTGGTTTGCAGCCTGCTAATTGTATTCATTTTTATGGCGATATTCTGTTCCTTGCAAATCTAATTTTCTATCTAAAGTATGATGCAAAGGTTTTCTTTTTAAATAAATTTAAATTTAAAAGTGAGTGAATTTGAAGAACAATAGTAAGTATAGGTGGTAGAGGGTATGTAGAAAGAACTGAGACCAAACACGAGAGTGCCCGACGCCTGGGGAAGGGTCTTGTTCAATCGTTTCTTGTTTACAGGCGTCAAAATTACGCCCAGAGTTACGCTTAAAAGTGGTTAAGATGGTACATTTTATATGATGTGCATTTTACCAAAATTCGCGTTTATAAAACGTGTGTGTTTTTGAAAATCAGGCCTAGGGAGGTTCTGCAACCTGCCCAAGGTCACACAGCCAAATAGCATCCGAGGCGGACGAAGTCCAGGGCTTTGTTTCCTTTCTGTAGGAAGTGTTGTGGCCCTTCTGCGGGAGGTGAGGGCGAGGCTGCCCAAGCCCTCCCGCCCCCGCCCCCACGGCCCCGCCCCCTCACCGTCACAGGCGGGGCAGCAGTCGCCCCTGGCGGGGAAGGGGCACTGCGCAGGGGCGCAGGCCCTGGGCTCGCAGCTGACGCTGCCCTCCCAGCAGAAGCAGACGTGGCACGGCAGGGTGGGCGAAGGGAAGCGCTCTCCGTTGGCAAACTCCTTCTCCTGGTACAGGCAGCCTAGCGGGCAAGCGACAGGGCAGGGCTCGGGGCCACGGTGGCCGCCTACCGGGCCCACAGCCTCCCAGGCCCCGGGGAGTGGGCACTGCCTCCCCAAATTCTCTGTGAGAACTGACACGGGAGACCAGCCCCGGAGGAGGGGACGACCAGGGTGGCGCCCTGTCTGAGGCTGGAGAAGGGGTGAGGAGTAACACGGAGAAAGCTCGGAGAAAGCGGGTGTCGGGCGCTACGGGCCACAAGGGGCGTTACCGTCGCAGGAGGAGCAGCAGGGTCCCTGGCGCGGGTGGGCGCAGGGCGCGGGCGGGCAAGGCAACCGCTGGCAGGACACCGAGCCGTCCAGGCAGAGGCAGCGGTGGCAGGGGTCCCCGGGCGGGAAGAAGTGCTCCTGCTGGCGCGCGGCGCCTAAGTCCCCAGGCCTCGGGCAGCCGGAGGGGGAGGCTGAGGCCAGACAGCGTGCATCACGGGGTGCCCAGGAGGAGGCCGCAGAGGGGGTCTCCGGGGAGCAGCGGCCAAGGGGGGCAGCTCTTACCTGGGCACTGCCGGCAGCACTCGCCCGGCAGCAGGACCGGCTCTGCACAGGGCAGCGGAGGGCAGCGGCGGGCCAGGCACCGCACGTTGCCGCTCTGCGTGGACAGAGGGACCACAGCAGCGGTCATGGGTTAGTGGCGGGAGGCAGAGGTGATCCCCACCATTCCCACCCCCACAGCGGTGGACTCCCCAAGCCCCACCCCTTTTCCTTTGGACTCCTCCTCCCGCCCCCGGGAGCAGACTGACCAGACAGTGACACAGGCGGCAGGGGTCGGAGGGGTGGGGGAAGTCTGCTCCGCTGGGGTACTCTTTCCCGCCAAAGGCACAGCCTAGGGGAGAGGGCAGCTATAGGCCTGGGAGACACCCTGCGTGACCCAGGTCATGCCCTCCCAGCCTTAAATGCCCACAGACCGGGCCAGGCCATCCCAGGAGCCCCCCGCCCCCAATCTCCTCCACCTTACCGTTGCAGTTACTCAGACAGCAGGGCCCAGGCAGCGGGTGGGCGCAGGGGGCCCTGGGGCAGGGCCGGGGCTGGCAGCGGGCGAGGCCGTCCTGACAGCGGCACTCCTGGCAGGGGTCTCGAGGGTGGGGGAAGCTCTCGCCATCCACAAACACCTGTTCCTCCAGGGTGCAGTCTGCGCAGAGGTGGGGGCAGAGATGGCGGTGCCAGGGCAGGCCCCAGACAGCCCTCCACCCAGGCCAGCCAGAGCCACTGGGAAGTGCTGCCCGGAAGCTGTCCCCATGGGCCGAGAGGAGGGGCCGCGATGCAGGAGTGGGCGTCTCTCTGAGCACGTGCGTGTGTGTCTGTGCACAGGCGTGCGTGTGTTTACTCCCTTCACCTGCAGGCAGGCGTGTGCCTCTGCGGGTGAAAAGGCAAAGGGCTCCCGCCTGTGCGTGCCCGTGTTCGTGACACACGCCCTAGCACACTCTCCACGTGGGCAGGGGTCAGGGCACACCGCATCCCGGTGCCCAGCCTCCCTCCTGCGCCCGACAGTCTGGGGCACGAACGTGTGTCACACGGGTGGATACACGAGCTTGTCTGCATGGGGGTCACGGGGAGAGGACGTGTGGGGTGGGGAAGAAGGGTGACAATGTGACACGAAGGATGGTGAGTCTCTCCTCTCCCTCCCACCCACACCCTGCAGTTCCAAGCTCCATCAGACTGAAAACGGTTCAGAAGACCGTTGCTTTCTAAGGGGACGGTTGTGCCCACGGGGCTGGGGGTGGGCAGGGCCTGGGGTCTCCACGCCAGACAGGTTCAGTAAGCACGCACCTGGGCACCTGGGGCAGCACTGGCCAGGTCCACGCTGGGGCCTGGCACATGTTGTGGGCGGACAGTCAACCAGGGAGCACCTCACGGTCCCATCCTGGGAGCAGGGGAGAGGACAGTGGGGGTGAGCCCAGGGACGGGCTCAGCAGGGCAGCGGCGAGCCTGGGAGGTACCTCGCAGCGGCAGGTGTGACACGGGCTGTCCGAGTCCGTGAAGTTCTGCCCGTTGGCATACACGTGGCCACGGTAGGTGCAGCTCTCACAGCTGGGGCAGCAGGCACCTGGTGGGGCAGGTTGGCCAGAGCCCAGAGGATCAGCGCAAGCTGGGCAAAGCAAGGGGTGAAAGCCAGAGAGGGCGGGGCACTCACCGGGCATCTGGGTGGGGTGCTGGCAGGGGGCTACAGAGCATGGCACAGCCCCGCACACGGGCACCCCCTCTTGACAAGAGCAGGCTGTGCAGGGCTGATCGTCGGGCTCCCACTGGACCCCCTCAGCAAACTCCTCTCCATCGAGCACACAGGCTACAGCAAGGGGGCTGTCACCATGGCAACCCAGACGCCTCTACCCATCTCTCCCCTTCTCAGACTACTCAGACTTCTCAGGGCCCTTCCCAGGACCCCAGCTTTGCCATCCCACCGCAGCCCCTGAATACACTCCGGAAGGGGTGGTGGATTTAGCAATGCCCCCCTTACTGTGAAGGCACACCCCTCCATCTCCAGCCACTGGAAGCCGCGTTCCTTCCCAGCTGTTTCTCCCCTCCCCCACACACACCTGGGCACAGCTGGGGGCCAGAGTCTGGCAGGGTGCAGGGGGCGACCGGGCACTCCTGCTCCTCACAAGAGACCTCACCGGCCTAGGAGGGAGGAGGGACACCGGGTGAGAGGCCCTCGAAGGTGAGGCAGACCTGGGGCTCAAGACGGGGACTCCCCACCTGGCAGGAGCAGCGGATGCAGCGGCCACCCTCTTGGAGTCTGAAGGTCTCCTGGCTCTCGTAGTAGTGTCCCTGGTACTCACAGCCTGGAGAAGGGGACAAGGGCATGGGGGCACAAGGCTGGAGGCTGGCAGGGAAGCCTCACTGCATCCTGACGTCTGCTTCCCACCCTGACGAGGACGGCCAGCTTCAGGGGTCTCTGCCAGCCCCGCCCCACCCTCCCCGTAGCCAGAACCCCACCTCACTGCCTGGTTGGCCATGAGAAGGTGAGGTAAGAACTTGTCCCTCACTGGTGATGACGGGAGCTTAGGTACGTAAAGGATTTCTTCCATACTTTAGCTCAAGGGGGCTTCCTGTAGGTCCAGGTCAGCAACCCCCACCACACACATAGCAGAGACTCTCCTTGGCTGGGGGCCCCCCCTTACCCGGTGACGTGCATGCCCCACTCACCGGCACAGACCGGGCAGCACTGCCCAGGGATCCTGCCTGGGTGTCGGCAGGGCACAGCCGGGCAGGGCAGAGGCTCACACTGGACGCTCCCGTTCTGACAACAGGGCCGGGTCAGCTCTCGCGAGGCAGGCCCGGACGCCAGGCCCCACCCTGCCCAGCAGCCACACTCACAGCGCAACGGCAGTGGGCGCAAGGGTCCCCGGAGCCCACGGGCTCCCCGCTACGGTACTCCCGCCCGTTCAGGAAGCAGCCTGCTGGGGAGAGGGTGCCTCAGGCCCTCCTTGCGAGCCCCCCACTGCCCCACGGCCTGGCCTGTGTGGGACAAGTCGGCTTTCTGAGCCGCTCCGAGCTCCACCCACAGACTCACCATCGCACACGGGGCAGCAAGTGCCCGGGAGGGGCCGGGCGGGGTACGGGCACAGGCTGGAGCATTCCCGCTGGCGGCACTGCACCTGGCCTTCCTGGGAGCGGGCAGAGCGGGCAGGGGAAGGGGCCATCTGAGCCCGGCCAGGTGGCGGAAACAGCATCTGGGTCCCACCTAGCCATGTATTAGACACTGTTCTGCGTGGAATTGTGTCCCTCCCACACTCAAATTCATATGTTGAAGTGCCAACCTCCTGTTACCTCAGAATGTGGCCTGATTTGGAAATAAGCTGTTGTAGATGTAAGGAGTTAAGAAAAGGTCATCCTGGAGGGGGGTGGCCCCTAATCCAATGACCGGCGTCCTTATGAAGAGGGGACATTTGGGCACAGACACTCAGAGCAACACGTGAGGATGGAGGCAAAGCCAAGGAACAGGGAGCTTGCCGGCCAGCCGCCGGAAGCTGGGCACGAGGCCGAGAGCAGGGTCTCCCTCACGGCCCTCAGGAGCACCCAGCCCTGCTGACACCTTGACCTCAGACTTCTGGCCTCCAGAGCCACGTGACAACACAATTCTGTTGGTTACGCCACTGCATTTGTGGTTCCATTATGGCGGCCCGAGGAAACACGTACAGATGTGTAACCTAGCTGGCTACTTGAGTTCCATGCCCCTCTGGAAGCGGCAGTCAACACACAGGAGCTCCTGCTGCTCCCCGGGGCTCTTCCTCACAGACCCCATCCCTGAAGTTCACGTCTGCACCCAGGCTCACTGTCTGCAGGCCCATCAGCGTCCCGGCAGCCAGTGACTCTCCTCACAGGCATGTGAGGGGGCCATTGAGAACGGGGAGGAGAAGCGCATGGTCAGAAAAGGGTCCTCAGCCCCTTCATCACGGAGTCCTCAGGCCTTGGCAGGCTGTCACTCTGGGGTGGCTTCAGGCCCCATGAAACGGCTCTTCTCAGCATGTGCCCCGCCTGAACATCAGGCTCCGTGTGCCCACCTTCCTCCCCAGGCTCTGTCCTGACCGTTCCCTGTCCCTGGTGTCTGATTCCACTCGGCTGCTGTGACCAAATTCCACAGACCGGGTGGCTTAACAACAGACGTTTACTTCCCACAGCTCTGGAGGCTGGAAGTCCAAGATCAAGGTACCTGCGGTTGGTGAGAACAAGCTTCCTAGTTCATAGGGGGCTGTCTTCCTGTTGTGTCCTCATGATGCAGAAGGGGGCGACCACGCTCTAAGGGCACTGACCCCATTCTGGAGGGCTCCATCCTATGACCTCGTCACCTACCTCCCAAAGGCCCAAAGGCCCAAAGGCCCCACCTCCTCACACCATCTCCCTGGGGGTTAGGGTTTCGACACATGGAGTGGGGGGAGGGGTGGCACAAACACTCAGCCTCCGACTCCTGGAGTGTCTTCCCCAGTTCTCCCTGCTTCAGTCCTGCTCACCCTTTAAGGACCAGGTGCACACTACCCCTGCACGAAGATTTTTCTAGAGCTGTGCTGCCCAGTAGGAATGTAACACAAGCCACATATGTCATCTTAAATTCTCTAGCCCTGGCCAGTGTAGCTCAGTGGATTGAGCTCAGGCCTGCAAACCAAAGGATCATCAGTTCGATTCCCGGTCAGGGCACCTGCCTGGGTTGCAGGCCAGGTCCCCAGGAGGAGACACATGAAAGGCAACCACACAATGATGTTTCTCTCCCTCTCTTACTCCTTCCCTTCCTCTCTCTCTAAAAATAAATTTTAAAAATTAAAAATAATTAAAATCTCTAGTAATAGAAAAATTCTCTACTAGTCAAATTTCAAAAAATAAAAACAGATAAAGCTGAATTTTATATGTTCCAGGATAACATTTGGATATAATATCCAAAATGTTACTTCAACGTAGAATCAACACAAAGCGTAGATGAGATTTGTTACATTCCTTTCTTTCACACCAAATCTCTAAAACCTTTAACACTGTGTGTTTCACAATGAAAGCCCATCTCCAACTGGGCGGCCACATTCCAAGGGCTCAGTGGTCTCATGCAGCTGTGGCTACTGATCAGACCCCGCGGTCCCAGGCACATCGAGTCAGCCTGTGTCCCTCCCTCCCTGGAGTGTGTCTGTCCTGTTCCTCCCAGCCGCACTCCTGAGGCCTGGAAGCTTCCTGAGTTCAGCTCACAAACCGGTGCTGTACACCTGCTGTCCTCAGGGCTGGGCATACAGACAGCGAGACCCCACTCCTGCCCTGGCCACGCCCTGGACCGGGTCCTCTCCATCCCTGTCCCCTCACAGTGCCTTTGGGGTGAGCTCAGTGGAATGAAGGAACGGACATGGTGGGTGTGGGAGAGGTGAGCGGGGGAAGCCCAGGAGCGGCATCGGGACTCACCAGGCACTGGCAGATCTGGCAGGGGTCCCCGGGTGCAGTCCACTCTTGGCCGTGCTCCCAGCGAGAGCTGCCTTCCACACAGCCTGGGGTGGGGGGACAGACGGGCAGAGCGGAAGTTTGATGGGACCCTGTCTGGGCCGCAGCTTCAGCCTGCTCCCCTTCTCTTTCACGTGCCCTCGGAGGGCTCTCCTCTGAGCCCAGACCAGGCCAGTTCCTGTCTCTGCCTAGATCCCCTTGGTGGCTGCCAGCGCCCCAGCTGGGTAAAGCAAGCTCCTAGCCTGCCCTTCCAAGTTTTCCAGGACCCAGCATGGCCACGCCCATCTCCCCCACCTCTCTCCAGCCCCTCCCCACCTCTCATTGTAAGACTTGTCTGCTCGCACCTTCCCACCTAACATCCACCAAACTCACTTTTGAGTGTCAGTCCCAAGCCTCTGCTCTAGCTGCCCTCCCTTCCTGCCCTCTGCTTCGTTCCACCCTCCACCTGGCTGACAGCGTTATCCTGAAGGTTCACTGGGGATGCAGGGACTCCAGGACCCTTTCCCTCCTGTGCCCAGGCTGGATTAGGGCTCCTCCCTCTGAGTGTCTGTAGCACCTGGCACCTGCTTCTATTCCTGCCTTTGAGACAGTACTGGCGAGTGACTCAGTGTCACCCTCTAGCGGCCTGCTTCTCGGGCCCACCCCAGGTCATCTGTGCACAAAGCAGAAAAGAGCCGGCAGTATTAAGGTGGACTATCATTATCCACACGGTACAAACGGGACCTGAGGCTCAGGGGAACTCACTCAGAGGCCCCCAACCACAGCGTGGCAAGGACAGACTCTGGGCTCAGGCGCCCCAGCTCCAGAGCTGGGTCAGGGCTTACCTTGGCAGGTTGGGCAGCAGCGGCCAGGCCTCAGAACTGGCTCAGGGCAGGGGCTGGGCGGGCACTCCATGGGCACGCAGTGAACCAGGCTCCTCTGTAATGTACCAACAGCGGTAAGTCCCCCGGGTCTGGCTCCCAGAGCACGGCAGGCAGGTGTCGGAGCCATTGGAGAGGTGGGGAACAGGTTAGGGCAGGGAGTGAAGCCCACTGGCTCTAGGCCTCGGAAGACATGTGAGGGGCTGAAAGAGTGTCCCCAGAGTGGGAGGGGACATCCAAGGAGGAGCAGGGCCTGCGCAAAGGTGTGGAGGGACTCACCAGGCAGGAGCACTGGAGGCAAGGATTGGAGCTAGACAGGAAGTTGGCCCCCTCCTCATAAAGCTGCCCCTCGTACTCACAGCCTGGGGAAGGTTGCCAGGATGACAGGCTGGTCAGACGATAGCAGGGTGGACATCACCCGAGGGAAGGCACGGCCCCCAAATAGGTGCTGGACACCCTGGGGCTAAGGCGGGGTGGGGGGGTCACCTGGCCGGCAGACGGGGCAGCACTCCCCGGGCGGGGTGTAGCTCTCCAGGCAGTTGAGCTCGGGGCATGAGGGCCCCTGGCACCGCACGGTCCCTGCCTGCGGGGCAGACACAGCCCTCTGCCCTCTCCACTGCGGTTACTGTGAGTCACCCTGCGGGCCCCGCAGGCTCCGGGCCTCCATGCCTGGGCGGCCTCGGCAGCCCTGTCTGGTCCCCATACGAGGCTTGGCTCTGCCAGGCCTGGTGTACACCGGGCAGCAGGGATGTGGGTGGTGGCTGGGGACAGGCTCTGATTCCCTTACCTGGCAGGTACAGGTGACACAGGGCTCAGGTTGCCACACTTCCCCAGCCCTGTGACCTTCAGGGCAGCCTGCAAAACCAAGGCCAGGCCCCCAAGTAAGAGACCCATAGGACTGGGGCATAAAGCACCCCAGAGGGCGCCACAACAAGGGGGCGCCCTTCAGGGGGTAAGCATCAGAGATTTTGGTGTTTACCACAATCTTCCAGCAGATGGCAGTAAAGTGTCTGACTCTAACAGAATCAGTAGGTTTCCATTTTCCATCTGTTGAGGAATGGGTGCCTTTTTTTTTCCTTTCAATTTCACCAAAGACATCAAATGGGCTAGCAGTGGCCCTTAGGTGCCATTCCTCCTACAGGCTGTGTGGGCGCGTGTCCTGTTTTTTGTTTTTGTTTTTTTTTTTTTTTGAGATCCATCAACTCCCACCATCTCCCCCCAGACTCCTAGGCTGCATTTCCGGACCTCACTGTTTCCTGAGCCCCTGTCTCAGCTCTCCCACCACCAGCTGAGATTCTTCCTGGAGCAGAGTAGATAAAAAACAGGAAGCTCTGTTAAATTTGAATTCCAGAATGTGGACCAGAAAAAGGGCTTCTATGGAATGTAACCTCACGGGGTGATCTGATCATAAATCCCTAGCTGGGCAGGTCACGGCCGGTAGTCACGTCCCAGGCACACGGCTTTTTAGTAAAAGGTTTATCTCTGCCCTACGTAAGCCTTGTCCATTGTGCATCTCGGTTAACACACCTTTGAGATGAGCCCCAACCACCCTCAAGAGAGCACAGAACCTTGGTAACTATCCTGCACCAGAGGTGTCCAGCCTTTTGGCATCTCGGGGCCACACCAGAAGAAGAAGCATCTTCTTGGCCACACATTAAATACATTGCGACATGTAATCACAAAAAGTCTCACAATGTATTAAATAAATGTACGATTTTGTGTTGGGCCGCATTCCCAGCCATCCAGGGGTGTGCGTGGCCCGCCGCCACAGGTTGGACACCCCTACATCCAATTCCCAACTCGCTTTCTCCTTCGGTTCCTTCCTTAGTTTCAAGTGCATTAAAGAAGCTGCAAAACTGTTAGTCCCTGGGACACTTGAGATCTTGCTCCCGGGCTCATGTCATTAGTTTGGTGCAGATAAACTCCTACAAAAATTCTCTCCTGGTTTGGATGTTTCTCACATTGACAAGATAAACCACCCGCACCGTTTTACTGTAAGTGTGTCCCCAAAACACTAAAGCAGTGCAGGTTGTTTATCTGAAATTGAAGTTTAACAGGGCATCCTGTGTTTTTATTTGCTGAGTCTGGCCACTGCGTCCCCGACTGAGACACCCCCAGCACAGCACGGCTTCCGCTTCCTCCCAGCTCTCTCAGGGCCCTGCACCGCCGCCCTGGCTCCCCACCGTTCCAGAGGGTCCGCCCAGTCACCAGCTCCTGCTCGCTCTTTAGGGTCACCCCTCCTCAGCCACTGCCATCCCCGGCTCCACGACTAGACAGCTGCTCTCATGGCCCCCTAACTTGTCACTCTGCGTTTAGCACCTTACCCGATGAATATTCCTCAAACACGCCTTTGAACATGCCACGCTCTGTGCGCCATTGAACTTTCAGTGACTCCCTATGGTCCACAGAAGAAAGTTCAAGTGGCAAGGCTCACAGCAGTCTCCTCCCACAGGCCTTTCCAAACTGATTTCCTGCAACACACCTCTCAGCACCCTGCTCTTTCTGGTGAAATCCCACTCTCTCCCGAACACCCAGCTCAGACAGTCCAGCGATTGTAAAGCCCGCCCTGACACCTAGTCCAGGTGGGCTTCCCCTGCCCTCCTGCCCTCTCCTCTGGCAACTAACCAGCTACTGCCTTTCTACACCTCCTCTTAATCTGCTCATTGGATCTTGTATAGTACCAACTATAACTTTATCTTCGCAACTAGATCAGAAGCTCCCGAGGGCAGGAGAAAGGTCATACAGAGCCTCTGGTTTAGTCCCAGGCCAAAGTCAGCATTTCTCTGAATTTGCTTCAGTTTCAAACTCCTCCAGCCACTGCCGGAACCAGTGGGCAGGCCCCCTCTGAGCTCGTCGTAAGTGGCAGGTGGCAGACCATGGCTCGGAGCCCAGAATAAGCACAGGAGGAGGGGCTGGGGCCGGCAGGCGGCTGACCTGGCTCGCAGTGCGGGCAGCATGCTCCTGGCTCCAGACAGGGTCCCCCTGGGCATGGCCTCTGGGCACAGGTCACAGCTCCTTCCTGTGGAGAGGCAGGCTGATGGCTGCACTGGCAGCAGAGCCCTGGAGGGTGGGGTCTCTAGAGCGGAAACCTCGGAACAGCCAGAGGAGCAAGAGGCAGAATTGGCTCAGGGGCCACAGGCGACCTTTGGTCCAAGGGCAGAGAAGAGACATCCTATGCCATCCCCATCATCCCCTGCCACTCCCGACCCTAGAAGTCATCTCTTCCAGGTGCCAGCAAATTCCCAGAGAGTGGAAGGAGCCTAGCAAGGGGACCAAGGCCTTCCTCAATGGAAGAGAGAGGAACCAAAGGCCAGAAGAAAGCAGGTGTGGAGCCAGACGAGAGAGAACAGGTGGGTGGAGGACAGGGGCAGATGGACGAGAGGGGACAGTCAGAGGACGTCCACAGGCGGGGGGGCGGGGGGGGCGTGATGTGGGAAGACAAGCAACGCCGTCCTCTTTGCCCTCCATGCCACCGTTTGCCAGGCCCAAGTCAGAGGGCCCGGGGCCCCCACCCTGTGCAGGGGGTTGAGCCCCAGGAAACAGAACCACTCAGAATGAGCAGAAGGCCACCAGCGGCAAGCTCGGGGTGGGGGCAGGCAGGTCCCATTACGCAACATTCGGCACACCGGGCTGCAGCCACAGGTAGCTAAGGGAGGCGCACCGGTAAGGGGGACAGGCGCAGACACGCAGGTGGGTCGTGGGACTCACCAGGCAGCGGCAGGTGGAGCAGGCGTCGGGGGAGAAGGTCTCCCCGTTGCCGTAGGCCTGCCCGTTGTGGCTGCAGCCTGAGAAGGAGACGGCGCTGTCGCCCGGGCCCTCGTGCCCGTCTCTGGGCCCCGAGTCCCAGACGCGATGGCACTCACCGCGGCACTGAGGCAGGCCAGGCTTGGGGGCACAGAGCGCAGCCCCCTCCTGGCAGAGGCAGGTAGTGCAGGCGTCAGGCTCCCAGCGAGCCCCCTCCGGCCAGGCCCTCCCCAGCCCCCAGCACTGGGGAGGAGCTGGGCGGCATTCACAGGACTCCAGCCGCCTCACCCTCTGCTGCAGGTCCTTGTTCTGGAGCAAAGAGTTGGGGGGGGGGCAGGGTGGAGGTGCTGGCTCAGCTTCCCCTACCATCCCCCTCAGGGCAGGGCGACAAGGAGAGCTGGTGTCCCAGCAGCTGTGGGGCCCCTCCAGTCAGCGTCCAGCTCAAACAGTCACAGTTCCCAGGACCTGGGGTCTGGACAGGCTCCCAGGGGAACACAGGACCCCTGGCCTCTCCTTTGGACAGAAGGAGACCCAATCCTTTTGTTCAACAGTTAAAGACCTTTATCCACCTGCAATCTTCCCTGACGATGTCTTATGTACAGTAGGTACTCTACAATGTTTGCAAACACGTGAAAGAATGTGAAAGTCTGGGCAGGTAAAACAGATACCCTGGAGGTTCTCCATTTTTACGAAGGAAGAGATATTAAGAACTGTTCAGATAAGAGCTCCATGGCCCTGGCTGGTGTAGCTTGGTGGATTGAGTGCCATCCTGCGAACCAAAGGGTCACCAGTTCAATTCCTACTCAGGGCACATGTCTGGGTTGCGGGCCAGGTCCCCAGTAGGGGGTGCACTGGAGGCAACTACACATTGATGTTTCCCTCTCTTTTTCTCTTCTTTCCCCTCTCTTTAAAAAAATATATTTTTTAAAAGAACCATTCAATGTACATTTAGAATGACTCTATTCTAGGGTCCCTCAGCACCCCCAAGCCCAGCGCTCCCCCTTCCCTCCTGTACTGCACACACACAGCACCGGGGGCCCCGCTCCCACGGCACCTGCTCTCTGAGCTGTGTCACTTCAGCCTCCAGCCTTTTCAGCAACTCCTTCAGGGGGCGCCCCTGCTCCTGGGGGGCACCAGCAGGGGCAGCGGCTGGGGGCTGGGCCGAGGCCTGCTGCTGGTGGTCCTGGATGTCGGCGAGCCCCAGGGACTCCCTGGAGACGGCCCCGCCTGAAATCACAAGAATGCAGGGTGAGCCCATGGGTGCGGGGCCAGCAAGATTTGCTGGCTGTGTCTTTCCAATGACATCACCCCGTCACCCACCCACCCATCCTCCATGGAAGGAGATAGGGCCGGTGAGGGTGCTAGAGTGAAAATACGGAGGAGGAGGAGGAGGAGGAGGAGGGAACCCTGAGTGGACAAAGGTGCCCCAGACCAGCTTTCCAAGTAGCAGAAACCTTTAGTCGGGTACCAGCCCCAGGTGCCCTGGCCGCCTGAGGCTCAGGGAGCGTGCAGACCAGAGCCCCCTGCAAGCCAGGGTCACTCGTCCTCCCCTGGGCCAGGGCCTCGGCCAGGGGTGGCCCGGGAGCGGGCGTGTCGTCGTGCTGAGAGTGCCCAGAAGCCAGCACAGCAGCCTCCTCGAGGGGCAGGAGGGGCAGGGGGGGCAGACAGACACGCAGAAGGTGGGGCTGCCTCCTGGGGCCTGGGACCCGAAGCCTGCCTGCCGCCCTCACTGCTCAGAGGGGCATGGCTTCCGGAGAGTGTGGGGGTCATGGGGGGTGTAACTGCTCTCTCTGTGGCCGCCTGAAGCCCGGCCACTGTGTCCAGGCCTGTGGCTGAGGGGTCTGGGGACCCCACACTGGGCAGGGCACTGGGTGACACTATGGTGAGGGAAAGGGGGGCCTCTGCGTTCAGAACTGGGGTTGGGGACAGCCACTCTCACTCTGATCCCTCCCCTGCAGTCAGAAAGGCAAAAGTGGGGGGAGGAGGGGGCCAGCTAACGCCACAGACATCCCACAGACCTCCAGGTATGGGCGGGCAGGGCAGTGGAGGCACTGGAGGAGGGGGGAGAGGGGAGGGTCTTTCCCACCGATGCAGCTCGTTCGTGGCTTCTCTCACGGTCACTGGGAGGCAGGGGACCGATGCCACTCACCGTTCCCACCGCCCCACTGCCATCACCAAGGAGGGACTGGAGATTCTAATCCAAAACCTAAGCTGTCCCCTTTCTTCCAAACCCGCTTGGCTGAGTTCCTTGGCTTGGTGAACGGCATCCCCACCTACTCAGAAATCCACTCCCCACTTTTGCACCCTATCGGTCTCTGGCCTCTCCCAGTCGCCCCCCAGCCCGTCCCCCTCCCATCTCCCCTCCCTCTGTCTCTGCTGAGAAGACCTTTGCTGAGCGTCCTCCTGGCCTCCGCCTGCTCCCCCCTCCCTCAGCGCCGCCATTCTAAATGGCAAATCTGAAGGTTCCCAGCGGCAGGTGCAAGTGTGACCTTTCACTAGGGCCACCCATCTTTTCAGCCTGCCCTGCCTTCCCCCCAGTCCAGGGCTCCAACCCCTGGACAAACTTGGGCACCAAACTGCTTGTGCATGCTGCCGTGCCCCTCCCTTGTGCGGGTCGCCCGGACGGCACTCTGCCTCCATGGGCTCTGGTTCCCAGCTTCCTTCCCAGCCAGCCCCGCCAGGGGCGTCCAAGGATGGACGGGGTCTCCAACAGCTTGACTCCCATCCCCCATGGTCCTGTTCCAGACATGCTTCCAAAGCAGGAACAGTTAGGGGGTCAGGGAGAAGCTGGGGGGCCTCTGGGACCCTCAGGGAAGACAGGGCCGGCCCCTCTCCTGGAGAGACCTGCAGGAAGGGCTCCTGATGTTTGCACAGATGCCTCGCTGCTCCCGCTGGAACTGTCCTTGGTTCCCCTCTCCATCCCCCGATTCCCGCCCGCCCCTCTGGGTGGGAGCCAGACACGGAGACGAGACTCGGAGTCAGCTCCCATAGCGGGCCTCCTCTTTCCCCTCTTTCAAAAGGCAAATAATTAACTTCAGACTCCCAGATTCCAGCGCAGCCTCTCCCCCACCGCTGCCTGCAGGAATTCCTCCCCAGGCCAAGGCAGGAAGCCCCCTCCCTCTCCTGGACCCCATGCCTCAGCCCCTGAGCTCCCCCACCAAGCCAGCTCCCTCACCCACGGAGGATCGGAGGTGGGCCACGCACCCCCAGGCAGGGCGGGGAGAGGCAGCCAAGGCCCCAGCTCCTTCCCTCAGAGAGGTCTGAGCAAGGCTGGGTGCCCCCCGCCTGGCTGCCAACCCTGAGCCCTTGGTACCCCCACTTACCTCTGCGCATTCCCAGGACCAGCACCGAGCTCAGGAGCTGCAGGACAAGGGGCAGCCGAGCGGCCCCCGACCCCGCCATGCTCGCTCCGCCTGGCTGCTGTCTGTGGCCTCGGCTCGGCAGGCGCTGGGGGAGGCGGGGTGGGGACACACCAGGCCTCCTCCCACCCAGTCTTTGTTCAGGGAGGGCTTCTGGAGTCTGTCATCCTGGTGGCTGCGTCGACCTCCCAGCCCGGCACCCCAACCCCGGGGTCCCAGCCCCATCCTGACGCAGCCCAGGCTCAGAGCTGCAGCAGCCCCAGCCCCGCAGGGAGCGGGGAGGGGGCGGGAGTGGGGGCCACATCTGCTGCATATGATGCCAGAGAAGACCCTGAAAATAAACACAGATTCGTCTGTCTGGGGATCCAAGACAGCTAGCTGGTCTCCCTGCCCACTTGTGCTACTCCAACCCCCTGGGGTTCCCAGTTCAGCTTTTACCCTTTTCCCGTGTACGGGGAAACTCGGACTGAGCTGGGTTTAAATCCCTGTGCATCCCGTTTCATATGCCCTCAAACAGACCCCCTAACTTCTCTCTCCCTCAGTTTCCTTGTTTGTAAACGGAGGGTCCTAAAATCTACTTCACAGAATGGCAGTGAGGGTTCAGGGAGATTATGCAGATAAAGAATTTAGGGCACATGCCAGGCGCTGGGCAAGTAACAATAGACATGACCCCCTCTCTGAAATCAGGGGTTCCCAGTCACCTCTTCCTTCCTCCACCCCTACGATCTTTCCTGGACTCCACTCATAACCCCCGTCCACCCCAGCAGTGCCAGGCTCTGCCCCGAATGCCAAGGCCTCTCTTCGCTGTCTGGTCCCAGATCGTTTTCCGGCTCCTGAGCTCAGGCCTGGCTGGTGGGTGAGCAGGGGGCAAAGCAGGGGGCAGGGCTGGCCCTGGGCTCAGCAGGCGGATGGGGCTCCAGGGAGGAAGTGAGGAAGCCGGCCACGTGGGCCCACAAGTCTGGGAAACTCCTTAGCACAGCTGGGAAGCAGGGGGAAGTGGGGATGGGCCCCAGGCTCCCAGGCAAAGGAACCGTGAGGGTGGAGCCAGGAATCCAGCAGAAGCAATCTCCTTTCTGCCTCAAAGACCAGCAAATCAGAGGCCACCCCTCCCCCCAGCCCAGGCCGGGACAGAGGTCCCTCAGCCCACTCAGCGGGCACCTTAATGGAGGGCAGCTTCTCTCCCAGGAGTGCGGCCCCTCGGAGGGCCTGAGCAGTGGGCGGCCGGGGAAGAGAGGCTGGGAGGCAGTGCTGAGACCTGGCCTCGGCTGGTCTGGAGCTGGGCCAATGGGAGCAAGGAAAGCCAGGGACAGCTGGCGGGGAAGGAACCAGGAAGCCCAGCTTTGGTCCCTCAGTGCTGGGGAGAATGATGCCTGCTGGAGGGCAGGCCCCTGCGGAGGCTGGTGGAGGAGTGACGGGCGGACTCCGCTGACAGCTGCCCCGGCAGGTCCTGGGGCTGGTGTTTTCCGCTGGTGACTCAGGCGAATCATTTCACTCTCACTAGTTGGACAGTCTTTGCTGGGGCGTGCGCCTCGAACAGCGCCCACCTCCTGGAGTGCGGACGGGCGGAGGTCCAGCAGATTAACAGCTGGAAAGGGCGCTTGGAAAGGGCGCTTAGTATAGCCCCGGGTGTGCGGGGCTTGGCTCTTGCTGCTTCTCTTACAGGATTTCTAACCATCGGCCCAACCATTGGGGGTGATGTCAGGGGGGCTAAGGGGAAGCAGAGTTTGCCACCCCAAAGATATGTCTTTTGGGATTTGCTTATTTTGAGCTGGTTATTTTTTTAAAAAGAAGAAACTCAGAGAGAGAGAGAACCTTTGAACCTCCCCCTTTACCTGCCTAAAGGAATCCAGATAGAGAAACCTGCTTAAGGAAGGAAGCTGTCACCTTAGCATCATAATGGGATCTGAGTGTTGCAGACAGGGAAGAACCTAGATAATTCTGCGTGTTCGAGCCCCCTCTGTCCCTTCGTTTCTGGGTGGTCTCGCAAGAACTTGTTCACCGAGTGTCGTGCCTTCTCATCTACCCGTGAACCGTTGCTTTTCCTCCGAAGCCCCAGACCCCTGCCTCCCTCTCCGTCCAGAGGAGCCTTAGTAGAAGCCTCACCTGCCCTGTCTGCAGTTCCGTATCATTAGGGAACGCTTTCGTGCACACATGTAATGCATTGGGTTATTTCCTCCTGAGAGTCTGTCTCATGCCAGTTTGGTGATGAGACCAGCCCCCAGGACCCAGAGGGTAGAAGGAAGATTATTTTCTGACCCCACAGTGCCTCCCTTCCCAGTTGACAGGTGCAGGGAAGCAGCTCACAGTCATGCTGAGAATAAACCACGGAGCGTGGATTCAATGTCAGGTGTTTGGGACCCCAGGACGGGGCCAGGCCCGTCCACATGGATCCCTGGCCATGCAGCCTGGCCTCGCCCTTGGCGTGACCTAGCCAGCCTCCAGGAGAGGGGCTCCTGCTTCCAGACTCTTTCCTAGAGTCAGAGGTGGAGCGCCTGCCAGGACTTGCATCCTCATCCACTCCCCGTAAACCTCATGGTCGTCGGGAGCCTGAGCCACCTGTCACCCCAGGCACCCTGACTCCCAGATACTCACTGCTCTGTGTCCCCTGCTCTGCCAGGTCCCTCCCCCACCTTCCCACAGCGCCTACCCCAGCCCCCCCACCTGCCTTCTCCTGTCTCTGTCAGCACCAGAGTACTACTGGAGAGCACCCACCACTTGGCTGACCCGTTTCACTTCAAATTCATGGCCACAAACCTCAGCAGACACACAACACTCCCTGTTCCCTGGTAAATCCAGTCTCCTGCTCCCTCTGGGGAGCACCACACACACCCCCTCCCTTCCTGACCAGCTCAGTGGTTCCACCCTTACCTGCATGATCTGGGCAAGTTACTGACCCTTCCCCAGCCCCGGGCTGCTCCCTGTGGAACAGGGGTAATCGTAGTACCCACGCCATGAGTGTTATGAGATTGTCTTAGCCTGGATTCCCTGGAGGCAGAGCCTTGCCCTGGCTGGGTAGCTCAATAGGTTGGAGCGTCATCCCAATACATCATGGCTGTGGGTTCCATCCCCTGGTCAGGGCACATACAAACATCAACCAATGAATGCACAGAAAAGTGAAACAACAAATCGATGTTTCTCTTTCCCTTCCTCTCTCTCCAAAATAAAGTTTAAAGAAAAGCAGAGCCTGAGACAACGGCTTAATACACATTTATTTTGGAATATGATTCCAGCAAGCAGGAGTGAGGGGTGGAGAGAGCAAAGCAGGGCAGGGTGGAGGGCCAGCTTTGGAAGGCGGGGGGTGGCAGGGGCTGGCCACAGCTCTGGGAGTCTGAATGGTCGATCCTGCAGGACCTTCCGAGCCATCTGAGAGCAGCTCAGGGTGGAAAATAGAAGCATTTCTTCACCAGTGCCCACTTGGTCCAGGGCGGCCCCCGGGAGCATTAGCTGCTCCCAGTCAGGCATGTGCCTAAGTGGGCTTCCCAGGGCCCAGTGCCAGGTACTGGAGGAATCCCAAAGCAAGGAGGGAGAGATTTGCAGCCAGGGCCCGAGGCCAGACGCTGCCGAGCCTCACCTGGACACAGCCGCCGCCGCCGCCTGGGCACAACGGGAGTGAGGTGCGGCCGAGAGGGTTTGCCTGACGGGGGCCAGCGAATGGGACAACGCACATAAAACCCTTTTTACAGTGCCCGACACAGTTTAAGCATCCAGATATATTATTATTTTTATTAACGCAATCATCATCTCCTGTTCTGGTCCAGCCCGAAAAGCCAGACTTAATCTTCTTTATCTGCAACAGAAGGTGGAGAAGCTTCTCGAAAACTCACTCTATGAAATAAAAACCCAGGCCCCTGAAGGGAGGGGGTTACTTAAAGAAGCACTTGAGTTCCACTGGGAGTGATGTCTGGGAGTCTCTTTTGTGCCCAGTGTGGAGCCAGATACTGCAATGCAGCAGGGAAGGAAATCCCGGCCAGATGCCCCGGGCCAGCCGAGGGAAGGGGTCCGGTGGTCCTGGGGGAGGGACGGGCAGGAGTGCAGGACCGTGAGAGCACACTGACCTCAGGCTCGGAGTGAAGGGCGTGCCCTTCTCTGCGAGGCTAGTGGAACCAGAGGCAGCCATCCTGACAAAACCCAACCCTTCTTTAGAACAGGAGCATTTGGCTCGAGAAAGACGGAATGACTCGGGCCCAGGCTTGAGTCCTTACTGGGCAGGGTGGCCCCACCTGTGGAGTGACGTGTAGGCTCCGGGGCGTGCGGGCACAGTGGCTCGTGGTGCCACGCAGGGCAGCAGAGAGGCTGCAGGGTTGAGAGTCAGTGAATTCCAAGGTCAGCTCCTGCTCCCCCCTTGACTGCTTGTGTTGGTGGTTCTCCGAGTCTGCCCCCGCCCATTCCTTCCCCTGCTTCTGGGCCCCTGCAGACCTCACTCTGGCTTCTGTGTCCTCCCGCCTCCTGTTGGATCAGCCACTGAGAGGCACCGGCAGGGCCGGGGGGGGCAGGGGGAGAGGAAGGGGGGGCACTTCTTCCCTAGCCTCCTCCTGCTCACCGTGGGCTCCTGCGGTCACCATTCCTTCCCCTCACCCCTCAGCCCCGGGGGCGGGGAGCGGGGGGAACAGTGGCTTCTTGCTACTGTCACTCCCTGATCTTCAGCACCCCTTGTTGATTGCCTTAACTGTCTGCAGATCTGTAATGGTCCCTTCTTTCAGTTCTCTTTAGCTAAGCCCTTAAAAATAAAAGGCTCTTTATCTATATTTTAGCAACAAGGGAAGGGAAGGAGAAAGAGAGGGAGGGAAACATCCGTGTGTGAGAGAAACAGCAGTCTGCTGCCTCTCGCCCTCAACCTGCAACCCAGGCTTGTGCCCTGACCCGGAGCAGAACAGGTGCCCTATCGGTTCCCGGGACGGCGCCCGACGCTCCAAGCCGCACCAGTCAGGGCTTCAGCCAGGCCCTTTTGAGGGGCATTCTACTTTCTCCTGGGTTCTCAGCCCATACGCTATCTTCACCACGTATTCCATTAAGTTCCTCCACTTCCTAAGCCAAAATCTGCCCTCTGGCACGCAGAAGACCCTGTC